TATTCTCAGATAATAAATAAATCAGCTGCTGTGATCTTTGGTAAAGGCCGTTCTTATGTGATTGAGAATTTAAATATAACCATAAATAATATTAGATTAAAATACTGTGATAAAGTTAAAAACTTAGGCTTAACAATGGATTATAATCTGAGGTTTCGTGAGCACATATCAAACTGTATAAAAAATCTTATCTGGCTCTAAAATTATTATATCCTCACCGAAATTTTCTCAATTTAGACATCAAAAGAATTCTTTGCGAAACCTTGGTTTTATCACAGTTTTCGTACTGTGTTCCAATTTATTCTGCATGTTTAGATTGTGATACATTCATGCGAATACAGAGAACACAGAACTCATGCATACGTTTTATATATGGCATAAGAAAATTTGAAAGAGTTAGTCATAAGCTGAAAGAACTCCGGTGGCTAAATATGAAGGCTCGTTTTGAGATATTCACAATATGCTTTTATCATAAAATTTTAACTCTCAGGCAGCCGCATTACCTCTACGAGAAAATAACATTCAGAAAAGACATCCATTCCGTAAATATTCGTTCGAAACAAAACATTACTGCTCCATTCCACAGAACTAAATTTTATGAAAGATCACTTACGTATAATATATATAAGCTATACAATCCTATCCCCCAGTACCTCAAATCATATGAAATTCACAAGTTCAAAGCGGTTTTGCGTGATTCTTACCTTGAATGTATAACGTAGAATTATTCTTACTGCGGAATTTCAATTTTATTTTGTTTGCATTCCATTATTTTATTTATATTTTTTTTTTCATATGATGCATAAATGTACGTATATGTATTTGTATATCATTCTAGACTTTTACATTTACCACCACGTTTTCTCTTTGCTCTTTTTTTCAAACTTAATTGTCGCTCATATTGGCGTTTGTTTATGCGGTATACATATATGGGTATATATGTATATGTGTATGTGTGTATGTGTATATATGTGTATATATATGTATATATATATATGTGTATATATGTATATATGTATATATGTATGTATATATGTATATATATATTATTCTAGACTTTCTTTTTTTTTTTAAATCTATTACCACATGTCTCACTTTTCTATCTTATTTTTTTTTTTAAAACTTACATGCTGTTCATATTGATGTTTTTATATGGTTGATGGATGTATTTACTGGCATAATGTTTCTTACAATTTCAAGGGATGAGTCGAAGAGCACTAGATAGTGAACTCCCCCTTGTGGTTTTCAGACAGTCGACATTTGTTTTATTTATTTTTTTTTATATTTTCCTTTTTTTTTTGGTTAATACTCATGTTTCTCTTTCTGATTTTTTTTTGAAAACTGTTTGGAAATAAAGGCATTTATTATTATTATTATTATTATTATTATTATTATTATTATTATACCTATACTAGCTTAACTGCCTTCCTTCTATTGTATCTATGATAAGTCCAAAACTGTTAATCCGGCGATAAGCAATTAGCATTCTAATAGGCTTTCTATGCTCTTCAAACCATTGGCCGTAATTGAACTTGTGGTACCATAGAGCCAAAAGGCTCAGGCAGCGGTCTTGGTGTGGGACCGTTCTTCTGATACGCCCAGTACCTCTAACTCTTCGTGTATGGAATTCCTGATTCCATGTCAGACAATACATCACTACCGTATTTAGATTTCTGTGCATCCAGATAGCTATTTCTCTAAAGGATCTACAAGCCTCACGCAAGTCCAATATCCGCCCTCTAAATTGGAACAAAGCATATTTTTACAATTTACTTCTTATGGAATCGCAAAGTATCGTGGAGAGGTGTTGTGCTAGACGCACATATGGGGTGGTCAGAACATGTCCGCCAGGTGGTTAAAGCAATACGAAGCTTAGTTCAAAGAATCAAATTACACATTTCTATGTTCTGCTCAGACATTCTCAAATCTTTGTATTTTGATTTGGTTCACTTATGGTATTCTTGCATAAGGTGGCCTCAGTAAATTGGAAGTACTGCAGATGTGGATACTTGAAATGATCCTTGGCAAACAACATAGGTATCTATCTGAAGCGACATTTTCCGGTGCACGAACAGCTCGAACACGGCCCGACCTTGGCAAATCTTTAACTCCACCTGCTGCTGGCGCGCAATTTAAATCAGTCATATATTGGCTACTGTGTATATTCAAATTACGGGATCGCTCAATTATCTAAAATTTTCTATTCGTTTAAAGTAATAAACTAGCAAGCCGCAACGAAGAGTGCAATTAGTGTGACTTTGACGTGATAAATGGTAGCTCGAAGTTGACAGTTATAGTTTTTTTCCACCGACCGCGCATGATTAGGTACGAAATTTATTACAAAATCTTTACATGACAGACAGGTTTGTAATTTGTAAACAAATAGGGAACTAAATTCAGTAACGCATTTTCGCAAAAAATTTGGTGAAAAATTATGAACAAAATTTTATATCGTGACATAAGGCCTTAAGCTAAGGCGATATCATAAGAACCATTTTATCGATATCGTTCAAAACCTGATCGTTTTTATACTAACCGAAGCAAACATATACCTAGGAAATCTTTCATTAGTATGTGGTGCTCTCTTCTCTATATCAGGAACAACACTTCACCAAACCTCTGTCTTTCATTTCTCCAGGGTGTTTCAGTTTATTGTTGCATAACTTTCAGATTCGATAGAACTTTTAAAATTAATGCATAAAGTCTATATAAACATGGGTCGAAAAATGCGTGGCTTCCGAAATACAGGGTGTTTAAATATACTTTTTAAAATAGTTTTTTTTAAATATTTCGAACAATATTTGATGTATAACAGTGAAAATTGGTATACAAGGGTTTTTTGGTACGACAAAACGAACCATGGGCATAGTTTTACTGTAGACGCTAGAGGGCGCTCTCTACTGTACCTGTAGTGTATTAAAATGACCGCAAATTTTTTCTTAGTGCAATTTTTCGCTTTTTGAATAAAAATCTGATTCTTCGCACTTTTCAACATAAAAAAGCTCTCCTGTGTTCGATGCATTTTTAATTATTCATGAGAAAATAATATTTTTTTTACATTTTCGATTTGGGCATTACAAGTAATTAAGATGATCGTTTAGATTGTGTTTTTAAACACAGCAATAATTCCTAACTCCAAATAAACACAAAAAAAAACAGAATATTAATTTGTTTAATTTTCCAATATTATTTTTACCAAATTAAATTAATTATTTACAACTAAAATGCTATTGGATAGTTAGGACAAACATACAAAATCTAAAGTGGTTGCTCGAAATGTAAACCCTATTGTTCAATACACAATTCACATCTACGAATGATCGAACGTGGTATAGCATTATTCAAATAAGGCCTTATTTCATCACATGCATTCCTGATTCTATCTATTAGCATATCTCTTGTGGTTACGGGAGTCTGGTACACTTTTTCTTTAAGAAATCCCCACACAAAGAAATCTAATGGATTTAGGTCAGGGGATCGTGGAGGCCAGGCGACTGGTCCTCCACGGCCGATCCATCTTTCTGGATAATTTGCGTCCAGCCAGTTTCTAACTATTATCGAGTAATGAGCTGGGACAACCATCAAGCTTTAAAAATTCCAAGAAGGTCGCAGCATTTAACCTTGCAGGCAAAAGCTAGGGTCCAAATGGTCGATTTCGGTAGATACCAATCCACACGTTCACACTAAATTCATGCTGAAAATTTCTTTCCCGAACTGCATGCGGATTTTCATGCAACCAAATATGTTGGTTATGAAAATTTACCACTCCACGTCTAGTGAAGCATGACTCATCGGTCCATAAAACGTTACTTAAAAACTCCCTATTATTATCAGTTCTATCAAGAATCCACTGACAAAATGTGATTCTTCGTTCTCCGTCCCCTGGCTGTAGTCCTTGCACAGGTTGCAAATGGTAAGGACGTCTATGGTCATTTCTAAGAACACGGTGAACATGGATTGCTGAAATTCCCAAGGCACCAGAAACTCTCCTAACACTTGTGGTCGGATCTCTATCAAACTCACGCAGAATCATACGGGTAAATCTGCGCTGACGAACATTTATGTTTTGATCCCTTTGGAGATTTCCAAAACCATTTTCAATTATTTGGCGATGCTTTCTTACAAATACTGAGCGAGTTGGATGTCGTCTGTTTGTAAATCTTCGTGCGTATTATCTGGCTGCTTCTGCTGCGTTTCCATTTACCAAGCCATACACAAAATGAATATCCGCTAACTCTTGATTGGAGAATAAAAATGGCATTTTTATAAAACTTACAAAAAAAAACAGGTAAAAGAAACTAAATTTCGTGCATTCACAATTGCAAAAAAAACGTTTCAGGTTTCAACAGACAACAAAACTATCAACTAATTGACGTTTAACCTTATTCTGCTTTCAATTTCAAAAATATTTGCAGGCAAAGCCTACTTCTAAAAATTATCGAGATACTGACTTTTTAACGTTATTTGATCATAAATAATTAAAAATGCATCGAACCTTAAAAATCGAAATATCTCAAAAACGGCTAACTATAACGAAAATTCACAAGAGAGCTTTTTTATGTTGAAAAGTGCGAAGAATCAGTTTTTTGTTCAAAAAGTAAAAAATTGCACTAAGAAAAAATTTTCGGGCAATTTAATACACTACAGGTACAGTAGAGTGCGCCCTCTAGCGGCTACAGTAAAACTATGCCCATGGTTCGTTTTGTCGTACAAAAAAACCCTTGTATACCAATTTTCACTGTTATACATCAAATATTGTTCGAAATATTTAAAAAAAACTATTTTAGAAAGTAAATTTAAACACCTCGTATTTCGGAAGCCACGCATGCTTCGCCCCATGTTTATATAGACTTTATGCATTAGTTTTAAAAGTTCTATCGAATCTTAAAGTTATGCAACAATAAACTGAAACACCCTGTATATCACGTCTTATTTTTCCAAAAACCATGTACTCAAAATTGATTCAAATTAGGTCGGAGAAGGAATAGACATGCTTAAATGATCTCATGTATAAGTGTTTATTGGGCAAAATCTCCAGTTAAAAACCTGTACAATATGTTATAATACCTATACAAAATCTAATCTAAATCAGGCAATAGAGACCCGTTCTTCGGAGAATCTTGTATACAAAGAGAAGAAAGTAGTGTCAAGTTGTCCATTTCTTCGTAATTAGGTTCAATTTGATTTTGATTTGGTATATCTGGTAACAGAGCGTCGGATTGACTGTCTTCCTCCCCAAGATCACAAATTAAGTTTTGCGAATTTGTTTCAGTTACTTCTTCAGCCTCTACAACATCTCCATCTTCGTTATCCTAGAAATATACGTAAAGAAAGATAGACAAAAATTTAAAGCAAAACAGTTGCTGTGTGGTTTTGGCATCAAATAAGGTGCGCGTCTACGCGCTGGACACATTGGAGTGTTCTTCTTCATCTTTTTCGGTAGTAGGATCATCCAGCAAGTTTGTTGTTCCTGGGCCAGCCCTAGGGATGCCCGCGCAAAGAGTTGGAAAGAAAACAGAGAAGTGGATTGCAGTCTCTGAAGTGGATAAGCGTCTCTAGATATCTCCGTCAGGCAAGGCAGCTGACTATTTAGAATGAACGCTTTTGCTGTTCTTTGGATAGAGCAACCACAGGTTGTTGGTGGGACTGTTATCTGGCCATAACACGATGAGGGCTTCTGTGATGGGGGAGACGGAGGATCCTATGTTTATGGTTGCGGGTAGAGGAAGAGTCCTCGGCGCATTATCTGTGTCGCTATGAGGCTCTGAGCTACTACAGGCTGACTATATTGGGGTCGAGCACCCTGGATCCCCAGAGGCGGCTAAGAAATGTAGTGGTGCTTAAGGGCCCGTTTATGTGGCCTCTGCGTCGGCTCCTCATGGTGCCAGGTAAGCCTATAATTTCTTTATTCATTCATTCAATCTTTTAAAACTCTTCTATGTTACTGAATACATATGCGTCCAGTGATCCGCGTTGGACGGAGGGTGTGCATCGCGCCATTGTCAAACAGAATAGGATTTTCAGAGAAGGCAACTATTCCTATGTGCGACGATGACGTCAAATGCATTATCGATCAGTAGACGCAACACAATCAGCGACATTGACACCGTGGGTTCATTTCCACTGCGGCTGTCAGATATGCGGACAAAGTCCAAATATTATACTGAAAATGAAATAAAATAGCAAATGACCACTGGCACCGTGGGTTTCTCCAGGTCCAACACCAATTTGGTACTAACAATTACATGCGTTTTCGAGCTTTCCATGAAGGAACATCTTTGCATAATTCCTATGCTGCAGAGAGAAAATGGCGTCAAATAGGTTGACTCTGCAACTTTCACGAAATGCTGTCAACAGTTCAAAAAGGGTTATGATCGGCAACAGCTAGCATGTTTAAGAAAAAGGTTAGCTACAAAAAATTAATTGAATGAAGTCAGCCAAACAGGCTCATACAATTAGTTCGTAGTCTATACTTATTGGACACCTTTGCGATCGATGTATAGTAAAATTTCTCATAGCATGCACGAATGAAATGTGGTGGAATTGGTAGAATTATGCCTGTAATTTATCGTGTGTGAAGTGCATTGCTGTGAGATACGGGAAACAAAAGTTACAGGGTGCTTGGCTGACCAGCCGCATCGTAAACCTTCTCCGAGGAAGCAGCATTATTACCGCACAAAAGCCTTTCGAAAAAAGAAAATTGATAGTTTACGGATACGGAGGCAGCTTCAGGTAATATTCAGTAATGTATAGGGTGTCACATTGTTGAGCTGGATACCAATGAAATATATTTTTTAATGGAAACCCCTATATTCTGTTTCTCCATGGAATGAACAGATAAAGTGTGGTGGAATTTGTAGACGTATGTCTGTAGTGTGTGAAGGGTGTTGTTGTGGGATATGGGAGACAAAAGTTACAGGGTGTACAATTAATCAGCTGCATCGAAAACTTTTCTCGAGAAAGCAGCATTATTACTGCACAAAAGCCTTTCGAAGACAGAAAAATTATAATTTATTATGCGGAGCAACCTTCTGGCAATGTTCAATAACGTATAGGCTGTTTGTATTCGATGCACAACTCCGCGATGGAACACCCTGTAACTTCTTTTCTGATAACCGCGATTCATGCAGAGTAAACTAAACTATAGACACATATTCTTTTAGAATTCTGCCTTATTTGATCCATGTGCGCCATCGGAAAATGTTCCAAACTTCTGTCTTGTGGAAATTTTCTAATTTTCAATGTCCATTACTTTTTTAGAAAATACAACTAAACATCACAGCCCTATCGTGTGATGAGTATCATTTTTATTGTGCATCATTACTTTAAAGATACTAAGACTTTGGTGTCCCCGAATTATGAAATACTCTGTATAATATTAAATACCTTTGATGAGTCTCTCATTGCAGCATATAGTGATCTGTTGATAATTATTTGGCAAACATTTGTCTATATTCTTGCCACAACTTTTAGATCACCCTGTACCTAACTCCCATGATTTTTTTGAGAAAATATTTATATAAAATGAAACTAAATAGTTTAAATTTTGTCTGTGCATGTAGTGTATTACTACAGCGGAGGATTTTGCTCAGTCTTCTTTCTCTTTTGCTCTACTGACTGTCTAACCACGCTATGACTAGCCTCGCCACCTCCATTCACGGCAGCCATCCAGTGGTCCGACTGCAATGCAGGCATATCCAGAGACGCGTGTGTTGAAAATATTTCCCTATCGTTCAGGTTTAAAGGCAAATGCACGTAGAAGACGTCTCTGATGTGTGAAGTATGCCTAATAGGTGTGTAGCACTATCTGGGTTGAAAACATATAAATATACTAACGCCAAAAAGTTGAGACATACTTTGCCCCATACCTACATCCCCAACCGAGATTTTTAACCGGTTTAAAATGTTAAGCCTTTGAGTCAACAAAACAACAAGTCACCGTCACTACACCCCATTGCATCCTTGGAATAGAAATAAACTTGGGAAGTAAGCAATTATATAATTTGTATGGCTTTGTAGATATATTTAATTGTTAATCATACAATAGTAACTCACCTGCACTACGGGAGTGGTCGACTTATATTGAAAGGCACTATTGGACAAATCTACTTCGACAGGAAAAAGGGCTGGACCTGACAGTAACTCTAAGGTGTTCTTGTGAAGTTCTGACATTCCATTGATTATTTTGGTGAGGTGTCCTCCCAAAGACTGGACGTGTTTATTGTCTAACAGTTCCATTTTTACCAGAACATCCGCTCTCAATTTTGCGAAGCGCGCTCTTGCTAATTGCCTGCACCGTAAAATTAACCTAAAAAATAGACGATTAAGTTGACCTAGGATTTTTTTGTACCTAAGCTTGAAAAAAAATCGGAGTAGCGCGCCTACCATGTGTCAAATAAACGGAAATGTGGAAGCATCTGGAAACTAAGGTCATATCTTACAATAGCCGGAGCCTGTGGAAGATAGTCTCCAAGAGATTACAAGAGGGTCGACAGACCAGTTTCTTTTACCACCTCCGGACAATCACAGCATCTATCGTCAAAAGAAAAATTTCTTTTGGGACGGGATTCGAACCCGCGGAGCGCACGGCCACTGCTACTGCCTATCTCTAATCTTGATATCCGGTTTACATAATTTTTTTTATGAGTGTACAGTACACAGTGCTGCCGTCCAAACTCTTGCTAGAAGCAATTTGAGTATTTGTATGTATTGTAGTTTTGATTTGACGCGAATGTCATAAACTGAAAAGCTATTGTTGAATACTGTAGTTTTGTCAAAGTTCTACAATTGAATTTAAATTTGTTCAACATAATGGAAAGCAAAACAATGTTGGCACCATATAGTTTGTCGTTCAACCTGACAAAAGTAGAACAAGTTCTAATTGGGCGAAGAAATACTTGAAGTTCATGGACTTATTTGACGTCAAATTGTTTCATACTCTTAAAATTTGGCCATGAACTCAGTTTATGAAGAAATGCGGGAATTTATTGATAATATAAAATAGGTAAAAGCTGGACTTTTTCGCAAAGTAGATGTGGAGATTTTTTGTCAAAATGATAAGCTATTTTTTTAATAACAATTATTTCGGATTGTGACATACCTATATTCGTAGTTTCCTGTTTCTACTCTATAAAGTGGTTCTTGTAAGGCGGCATAACTGCATTCTTCATCGTCCATTTCTTTTACTTTTAAACAATAGGCTAGGTACTCGAACTTAGCATCCGCATACTTTTTCACTGTCAGTCTGGTGTCAGGTATCGCTTTGTAGAGGTAAGTACCCATGTCAGAGAGAACCTAAAATACGAGAATTGGAAATAGATTTAGTTGAAGGTTACAAACATATACTCCTGAGATGCACCAAATATAGCAAAAAAGGAGAGATGAGATAATCTCTTAAGATAAATGATGATCTTCTTCCAGAACCTCAATAGTAGTATAAGGGACACTTGAACGTGTGAAAATGCAGACCATGGAAACAAGCGGTATCCTGTGCTGGTCTCGCTGCTGCTTTCATTGGTGCAGGACTTGCTGGTGGTACCATCAGCACACCAAGGCCAGCATTGATGCATGCTGCTTTTTCCCACGGTCCGCAAAGTTTTCCCGGAAAGAAAGAATTGGATCGATATTCGCTGCAATGATAAGTCAACCAGTAGTAGGTATTCTATATTCCTATGAAATGTTATTGAATTACAAACATAAAAAATATTACATATTAAGGGCACTTACTGGTTTCACTTTCTTCACCATATCATGTCCCAACTTCTCCATGGATCTATGTTGTTCACCAAAAAGTCTGAACGCCTCACTGGCTCTTGGTTGTGGTTCTCTTACGGCTAAAGATGCGAAAACATCTCCCATCGCCTTCACTGCTTGAAGTAGTTCCATATGAGCCTGCACAAGAACAAAACATTTTTCGTAATAATGTAAAAGCACTTCCTCAAGGAGTCTAATTAGATTCACCATCAGTACTACAAGTGGTAAGTTGACCAAACACAATTATTATGTATAACGAAACTATAATACTTGACTAGAGGACCAGTAGTGGTAGATACGATTCTTGAACAAAGAACAATAATCTAAGCTACTATCAAACTTATACCTGGAGCACCCTCTTGCAGTGATCGACTAGCCCCCTGTACATCAATTCCGTATCTTGCAACTCCTGCATTTTCTTCACTAAAGTATCATTACAAAGGATGGCCCTTGATAAACCAAGCGCGTCTGCTGTTGAAGAACTCATGTTCTCCACCAGCCTGTGCTTCATTTTCTTCATGATTATGTCTAGAGTCTTTCCTTGTTGGGGGTCCGCATGTAGTTTATTGTAGTTGATTATCACTTCATCCTAGAATAAAAATTACCTAAATTGTGTACGACTTTATGCTAGGAACAAGCTGAGAGTCTAATAACTGACAGTTTTTTGGAACAGAGGATCTCTCCCTAAACATTTCTTTGGAACCTTTTGGAAATTCTGAAACCTCCATTAAAAGATTCAAACTTTTTTGTATTCACTCGAAGCTAGGCTATAAAGCTGACAGAAAGAACCCGCGCTGCCCTAGATTTTTTCAGACTATCTCGAATCTCTTTAGATAGCCTAGGAGCTCTTTGGATTCCTTCAAACTTCCTTGGATTACCGCAGATACCATTGAATTGGCTAGAGATCTTATATTATTTAATAATCTTGGGATAATTTACTGCTTTTTATATCCTTGTTAAAAAAAATTCAGAAAGCTTCTATCTGATATCTTGTATCATTTCAGCCACCACAATCTTGATCGTTACCTGTTAGAGTGGACCATAAGACCTTTACTCGTGGTTAAATTCTTGTGTAAGTAAAATTGTCATGTCTGGGTGCCAGATAATAATGAAGAAGCAAAAGAAAAAGGAAGGAGGCAAGCAGGACAGGATAAAAAATAATTCTTGTAGCTTGTATCATTTTGGCCATCAGCAACTAGGTCGCTGCTTGTTGAAGAAAACAGGGCAGTAGAGGGGATAGTGAAGGAATACTATTAGGGAATTTTAAGTTAATGGTACAAAATAATGAGGATTAACCTTAGTAGCTTGTATCATCTTGGCCACCTCCACCTTGGTCTTTCCTTTGACTGATTGTCCATTGACAGAGACCAGTTCATCTCCCGATTGTAAAGTACCATCTCTGGCAGCTGCGGTGTTGTCGAAGATTTGGACGATGTACAGACAGGGGCAGAGGGGCGCCCCTCCACCGATACTGATGCCAATCAGGTTGTTCGCGTCTTTTTTTATTGTCACGCTGCCTGACGTCACTGTCATCCCCCTGGAACATGAAAAATGACGAATTAATAAACTGGCTGTAGTCAAGTACCAAACTTGAAGGGAGTAGCATAACACATCGTACGCCACTGCTAAGGCGATAATTCTTTATGTAAGATACGTGGACACTGCACCCAAAGGAATGCCAGGTTACCAGTGGCGTACACGGGCGGGGTAGCTAGCTGTTGCCACATGGGCTCCAAGGCTCGCGGGTTGTATTCCTGGGATCGGAAGTCACATTTTGAGCTAAGGATGTCGTTTGTATTGTAATCAAATAAGCACATCGCATTGCTGGACTTGGTTTATTCAATAATCAGTTACCAGTAGATGTGCATGTGGGTTAGTATAGTAGTGGTACAACGGGATGGCCCACTTCTTGGCAATTAGATATTTTCTATAGAAAGTGTTACATATTTCTCCCTCTCCCACCAGTAGCCAAAACATCTATCTGGGGACGGTGTATCGTAGAACACACTGTTTTTCGACTGAACAGACTTGACAGTTTGTTTTTGAAAATGTGCCATAATTGTTTATATTGTAAAGCTTTTAACTTGTGTAATGGTTTCTCTGTTAACTGTAACTGTACCTAATTTTTTCGGTCGGAATTAACTATTTTTATTCAACATCTTTTTTTTAACACAACTGTATACTGGTTCTCAATCCCCTCATGTAAATTTCAGCATGTTGGTCTTAGCTGTAAGTTATTCTTAATAATTCTTAATTATAATATTCACATTGTTTACATTTTTCCTAAATAAACACACGTATTGTAATTTGGTTTGCCCTAGTTGGTATGAAAAGCAGCTTTTAGCTGACACTTGCCAGGTAAAATAATGGCTAATTGCGTTGGAAAAAAAACTGTGGTTTTTCTCCGATAACTGGTTTCTTATCGAACATATCTTCTGCAAAGCCACTAATTGAACCTTCCTTTATAAAGGTGTAACAACCACTTTCCTCCTAAAATTGTGATATGAGCGCCATTTGTTTAACCTCCAGATTCTGGGATATTAGATGCCGAATACCAGTTTGTGGAGTGGTACCCCTTCATATTGTACCTTAGGCTTAGTTTTCTGGTTTGGGTGCTACCCCGTCCATTTTCTTATGCGGTAAGTTTTTTCTCATACCATCGAACCGCGTGCATTAATGCATGTCCTGAAGAAGTTTGTTCAATGTCTGCTTCCTTTTAGTGGAAAGGCATTGCGGAGAACCAACACACACTCCTCCAGCCAGGCCTTTACCTTAACAAAAAAACCTATTTACTTCAGAGAGGGGAAGGGGTGGCTTCCGGCAATATCAGCTGCAAAACACCTGCTGCACCTGGAGTGTGTGGTGGTTTTCCGCAATGCCTTCCCACGCTGAATATTAAAATCCCACAAGTAAAATGGACGGAGTAGCACCCGAACCAAAACAACTAAACGTAAGGTCAAATATGAAGGAGTACTACTCCACAAAGTGGTGTTCGGCACCTAATATCCCAGATTCTGGAAGTTGGCGCTCATACTACAATCTCAGGAGAAAACTGACTGACACGAAACACCTAACGTTATAAAGGAAGGTTCAACGAGTGGCCTTGAAGAAGATATGTTCGATAGAAAACCAAGTAACGGAGAAAAACCACAGATTTTTCTTTCCAACACAATACTGAATCACTAAGACAGAAAGATATAATACGTGTGAAATTATACAATCAATAAACTATGAAATTTGCCAAAAGAACATCATTGAAAAGGGTTTAGCCTAGGAATGGGTACTCTACCATTAATAAAGAGAAATCTAAATTATTAGCAAGTGGTTTAAATACTAAAAAAAGGTTACGTGATTTTGGCACGTGACAATACTTAGGCTATTATTATTATTATGTCAAAATCCGATCGGAACTTTTCAAGTTATAGGCGGTTATAAGATTAGCGAACAGACCGACAAACCAACAGACCGACAGACAGACCAACGAAAACCAGTGACATAATTTTTAATGATGTACATACAGTCATACAACATCCAAACAAATATCTTATTTTCGGAAATTTTCGCGATTACAATACTTCCCTGCCGTGGGAAGGAAAAATAATTATAATGTAATCCACATGATTGTAATATTCGAAGACAACGTTGTAAATTGTCTTCGAGTCCTATATGTGGAGTCACGAGTTGCATTTTAAAGTTTAAAAAGATAAAAGTACATTTTAAAATATTTTTTTTTTCGGAATTGGGTACTGATTTTTTTATTGAAATGTTATGATATACAAGATTTTAATAGTTAGGGACTGTATTCAAAACTATCCCATTCCACTTCTGGATATGAAATACACAAGAGAAAATTGGTTAAATTTCCGCCTGCGTGCTTTGCAGCTGGCACTAGATTGTTGCATCTGTTGCAAACGAATGGAATAGTTCTGAAACTACCAATATTTTTTAATCAACAGCAAGTGCATATTGTCTAAGTCATTTGATGCCTATTTATTTAAATTGGAATTATACTGTAACACAACGATGTTAAAATTTTCCATTCGACGTTAGACGACAAAAATCCGTACGACGTATTTTATTTGCACAGCTCATTTGCCCCGTATTTGAAGCATGTCGCCAGTCTATAAAAAGACATAAATCGTACACTGTCAACTATCAGTATACAAATATACGTATTTGCACACTACAACCGTTGTGAATTTCGTTTTAAATTTACAGGGTGTCCTGAAAAATAATTAAGAATCAACTACTTTTACATTAGTGTTAGCTTTAGAGCTAACTTGCAGCAAAACAAGGTCGAAAAAGATTATCACGATATTGCTCTAGGAACGTGCTAATTTCGATTTTTCAAATTCGGTTTGTTTATAAGCTAGGTTAACCTAGACACCACCCAACTACTCACATAATCTTAGTACATCAACATCATATGTTTCGACGAAGGTGGGATTGTGGAAAAGGAGGGAGGGAGGGATGGGTTATCTTAAAGGTTTGGGTTATACATGGTGATTCACAAGTTGTGACCAAAAATGGAACATCATACACAGGACCGCTTTTTAAGGGAGGTCTCCTATGTAACACTTTTCCCTCGAGGGCGTCATTAAAAAGACAGTGTTGAAGTTCAAACATAAAAAACAATTTTATTTAATACCTTCAAAACCCTCAACTGGAATCAACTAAAATTTGGTATGTGGATTTAACTAAGTATTGTCCACATTCAAACGTATTTGCTTAAACTTAACGTGCACCAGTAGCGGATATAGGGGATTAGTGGCATTATGTTTCCAAATGAAAATAGTATGCTACTGTTTTTTTTAATCGCGCAATTTTTGAATTTTACCTTGAATTTGCTACAAATAATTGGGTATTTCTCAACAAATTTCAAAATTCATGTCCTGAGCCATTGATGCTAAGTTGCACGGATTTATCATCAATTTAACATTTTTATTATATCATTAAAATATTTCAAAAGCATAAATTCAAATAATATATTGACACAAAAAATACGATTAATTTATTAGTCTAAAAATCATGCCCTCATCTCGTCCCTGGGTCTGAAATTAATAATAAAAAAATATATATAACCAAATCTGTTCATGTTATTATGAATTGAATTTTAATAAAATGAATTTGGTAATAAGTATGGATTGTATAGTCAAGGTTTCATTGCTAAAAATAAATATGTATATAAAAAAATCTATTCAAACTATGTCCCTTGAAATGAAACCATTCCCTCACCCATTATAAATATCCGATTTGTGGTCTACACCATTTGATATTTTTCGACGCAGCTGTTATGTTTTTAAAACTTGGCAATGCTGCCAATAATGTCAACATGGAGGAATTTAGTAATAGTGAAAAGAGTTGCTGCAAAAAAGTATTTGATTTCAATAATTACAACATTACATTTCTCTGTGTCATTACCTCACTGTTTACATCAAAAGGTAAGTCATTATATCGTTCGAATGTCTTAATGATTTTTTTCTTGTTTTGGGGAGTAAAATGCATTCACAAAAAATTTGAGGTGATGTACTGTTGGTTACGGTGTCGTATGCAAATCCGTCATTCCCTCACGATCATTCCCTCACTATATTAGAAAGTGATGGCATGATTTTTGCATATATAAAATTGTGGTTTGGGTGTTATTGTTTAACTCCAGGTTGTATAGCATTTGTTTTTCATTAGATATCCGTATATCAAGAATTGGGAAAATGAAGAAGTGAAGAAGAAAAGAAATTAAAAAAGGAGTACGACAGAAAGAGGCGATGACAAATGAAGATCAATGCTGAGTCTTTAGAAGCTTTTCGTAAAAAAGAAAAGTATTTAAAGAAGAAGAGTAAAGGTCAAGTTAATTCAATAAGTTCTATGAGTGCAAGAGAAACTAGCAAAAAACGAAAACAATGGGTGAAGAATCACCCCCACCTGTCCATCTTTACAGCGCAGAGCAGAGAATTAGTCTGCTCCCAATAGACGTAGAATGCGCAAGCAGCGAACTATTCTGTACGCGAAGATTAAAAGTTTGGAAAATAAAGTAAGGAACGTAGTCAAGCTTAGCGACAAATATAAGAAGAGGTGTTTGAGATTGAAAACTAAAAGTACTGACCCAAACTCTCCAGCAACTAAAGTGTCTTTGCTTTCAAATAATATACAAGTTCCTGACGTTGTAAGAAAAAGACTCATTTTCGGAGAAGGACTGTCAGCGGAATATCTGTGAAGATCTTGGAAGTAAACATGAAGAAGAGAAAAAAATATTACAAAATGTCGAAGCTGCAATTAGTACAAGAGATACAAAAAAAGAACTGTACTCGTAAAGTTAGCTCCAAAATGCTGAAAGTTAAGGGTGATGTTGTTCATTTCTTAGAGAAGGATGAAAATACGAGGATGAGGCCAGAGAAAAATCACTATCTAAGCTCTCTGAAGTATAAAACAAATCTCAACACATCTACTAATAAATTAACTTATGTATTTTATTGAAATCCAGCATCAAATTGTTGTAAGAATCATTCCCCCATCCTATCAGTCATTCCCTCATTTCATTGTTGTTTAAAAGTCATTTTTCTACATGTTATACACAAAAATATGCAGGACCTCCATTATCGATGAACCTCACTAAAGTAAAACTTTATATTTCTGCAAAAAAAAGGATGTACTTTCATTATTTTTTCTAAATTTGTTGAGAAATACCCAATTACTGTTGTGTTTTTTTTTATAGAGTGGATTGTTTTCGTAAAAATAAGAAAAAAAAACAAATTAGATAATAAAAACTTTATTTCAATAAAAATGGAAAAAATGAACTTTTGACTTGACTTTTACAAAAAGAAAATGGTAGCAGTAATGATAGCAACCATATAACACATAAATTTGATAAGCTATCTCCTAAGAGACGTCAAGTTGATATCAAGGCCACCTATTTTATTTTGAAATTAATTGTACCTCGCCTCTTCAATGATCTAATTTGTTTAATTTTTATTTTTACGAATACAGTGCACTCTAGGAAAAAACACAAGAGCAGCAAATTGAGGGTGAAATTCGGAAAAAGACAGTGGCGGACTATTTTTATTTGGAAAAATGATGCCACGAATCCCCTGTATCTCCGCAACTGGTACACGTTAATTTTAAGTAAAGACTTTTGAATGAGGAAAATTCTTAGATAAATCCATACACCAAGTTAGTTCATTCCAGTTGACGGTTTTGAAGATATTAAAAAAATTGTTTTTCATTTTTAAACTTATTTTAAACTTCAAGTGAAGCTCTCGAGGAAAAAATATTACACAGAATATCTCCCTTAAAATGCAGTCCTATGTATGATGTTTCATTTTTGGTCACGACTTTTGGATCACTCTGTATGTTACTAAAGAACATGCTTGTTATTACCTGACCTATACGGTTCGTAGAGAAAAGTTCCAACTTTGAGGGAAGCCCTGTATTTATATCCCACATGAAGCTTGAAAGTATTGGTTCTAGTAATTTTAACAAAAAATGTGCTCGCATTCTATATTTACGTCATATGGTAAATAATTCTGCATTGTAGTAATTAAGCTGTAATCATCATTCGTCCTTCTACCTCACTGTCTCAGAAGGAGGGTAATTAACGTTTGTCGCGCGTGGGTATGTTGTACCTATGTATCCACAAAAATATTTCACGGGCTACAGGAAAAGCGGCTTATCGCTGGATTCGTTTCAGCTGTGCGACTGATACTGGCTATATTGAAACTTTTAAACAAAATGGCAGACTTAAATGACAAAAATTCGGCATTGAAATTTCTATTTCACAGGCTACAGCTTAAATGGCTTGATGGATTTTAACATACGATGCCAGCGATACTGGCTGTACTGAAATTATATAAAATTAAAATGACGGACTTAAATCGAATGAAATTTTATCTCACAGCTTAAATGACTTGATGGACTTTGACATAATGATGTGTCTCTAGATTTGTCTTGACATCTCAACTCTCAGTGAATATGCCAAAATTTTCCTAAATATACATGCTCGTAAAGCTTTCTAATTCATATTTTAGATCTGTAGTGAAAAATTTAGAATATTTTCCCATCAAATTAGTGATGCTGGTTTCTAATTCGTTTTCTTTTAGATTGACTAATTTATCTGGCCTCAAAAAAGCAAATATATCATTCACTTCACGAAATCCTTCAGTACGTTCTTGCAATTCGTTACCTACTGATTAAATCTAAAACTTCGTAGTAATTTATTCGATGTTTTTTGTGTTTGCAGTGGCGAGTCAGCAGCTTTTCACTTTCACTTTCTTTGATTTTCCTCTTTCTGATAATGGGAAAACCAGGATTTTCACATTCCATCTCTTCATATTTATTCTTAGCCTTCAGAACAAAATTATCGTATGTGCTTTCGCTCCTCAAACCTTTTAATTTTTTTTAATGCTGCTGAAATGCACTTTTGATCCATCATCAAGTCAATTCATTACGCGCAATACTGAATGCCACCATAACAAATTGAGGAAAAGGTCCAGTTCATAGAGGAAAGGAGAGATCTTACACACATTACATCTTCGCCAGAAGCCCCCACTCTTGAAATTTTGTCTTCTATGCAATCGATAATATATTCAAAATTTTTTTTCCACGATATTATCACGAAGAAAATAGATATGTCATCAAATAACTTTTTAACTTGCAAAAATTTGAAATCATCAATATGGACATTTTTAGAGTTAGTCTTTCCTACATCTACGCTACAATTTTAGTGTGAATAGCTCTTGTTAGGCCTTAGTAAAAAAACGGTACAATTCATGTGATCATTTATTGCAAAAAACATATACTCATTATCATTCATTAGATAAGGGCCGACGAAACAACTTTTGATGAAGAGTCCCGACGAGCTGCGTATCTTGAAGTAAAAAGTTTTCATACCATCATAATTACGAATAAGCCACAGCCAGCGAACCACAAAACTTCGTAATTAATGAAGTAACGAGTTCCTTTCAGTACGAAATATTTTGTAATTAGTTTCCGTAACGTTGTCATTTTATCCAGCTTGATGAGAGTTAATTAATCTGAGCCTCTTTCAGACGTAACTAACCTTCCTTTTTGGCTACAGAATATGAATAGTTTCATCCAATATAGCTATGAATGCTGATAGTTTGAACTAATGGTAAATCAATCTTTTCACAGAAAAAGTTTCCTACTGGGGGTATTCGGTTTTTACAATACAACCTCAAGTTAAAATCTAGTACTTTTTTCCCTTGTTAAATAAATAACTATTTTTTGAATCTTTGAACATTTAAATACATACTACCAACATCGTAAAGTACTTGAAATATTGAGCTTTTCTAGAATGGAACTCCTTGAAGTCTCTAGCAACCTCAAGAAATCGCCTGACATAATTTGTCAGAGCTGCTGAGATAACTGATGAAGATAATATGAAGCAGACAACTCGTATGAAATGAACGATAGTTGCTCTCAAAGGTCCGAAAAATCTAATTTGCTATAGTGATCGCGCCGTAATGGCTTACCTAATGAGCATGGAATGTGTTTTGCTGCTATTCTGTAGAATAAAATAGTTGGAATATCGCCCTCTCAGATCGTGGTAATTCCAAGAATGTACACATCAAAGAATTGCCAACAAAAAAAGATGCGTATTTCATTTGGTAGAAGCTGAAGGTGCTCAAAATGGAAAATGAAAGACACCACTTACAATAAATGCGTATATTTATGCCTAGCCAATTACATCATCTACAAATACACATCACACAAAATAGCACTCTTAACAGAAATGGTGGCTTCTAGACCTACAAGCTAATTTTTTTTTGTGCTAGTGCCAGAAGCATACCTTCAGGTTCAGTCTAAGTACATTAGGCAAAAATCTTGAAAGCAAAGCTCAGCAGTAGAAGTTACTTGCAAATGATTAATAACACTATAATTGCATCTGTTAACTGCACTAGCTGGTATAAGGAAAACGTTCCTTCGAAGGATGCTTTCAAGATCTCATATTCTGAAAGCCAAATGTGCACTAGCTCAAGTTACTTACAAGGTGTCCTCCCTGCGTAGCCTTTCCCTAGGGCACATATCAAACGTGAGGATTTGCAGATCAGAATCCACGGGCAAAATAATGTCATCATTATCTCTGTCATATTTATCTTTTACTTCGTTGTCTTCCTTGCCATCTTCTGAAGTTAGTACCGATTGTGGATCAGGCAGACTTTGAGTCTCTCTTACTCTACTGAAAACAGTTAATTGCAATTTTGAGATAGGTTTTGACTACGCCTAAACAGGCACAAAGATCTACAAGGCGTAGCCAGAAACAGAATTTTAGAATAAAAAAAACAAACAACATTTTACCCACAAACAACCAGAAAATGAGATCCTAGGTATGTGTACAAAATCTAGCTAGTGACATAGATATGTGAAAGTCTAGAGAAAGTGTAAATATTTAGTATTGAATAGGGAAAATCCTCAAATTTGGTTACCTTTTTTAAATAATTAAGTAGTCCATACTTTGGCATAATATATTGAAAAAATCTGCTTACAAAAAACGAAGTTCGGGATACGATTTTATTGAAATTAACTACATACACTTTTGAAAAATACTTACAACTCAATAAGAGATTCTGTTTCTTGATTATCCATTTTGGAGACCTTCGGAGTACCTTATTGATTTGAACTACTTCTCTGCAATTTCCTGAAATAAAGTGCAATGCCATTAGAATATTTATAAAAAGTAGGTATTAGCGCCAATCTTGTTGACACTTAACTAGCATTTCTATTTTACTTACCCTAAGAAGTCCAATCATCGAACCATTTTGGATGACGATTATGGGAAGGTGGTTTGTTTATTACCACGTATATGCCAATGACTTATTTTGAACGTGAAATCTTCCAAAAGCTACACAGGGTGTTAATTAAATATGTACCATAAATTTAATAGACGATTCTTTGGGTAATTTTTAAACAAAAAGTTTATATAAACTTAGGTCCGCAAATTCTTCGTTGTCAATGGAGGGTGTTAAAATTTAAATAAAAATGTTTTTTCGTAAATTTCCTAAATATCCTCTACCTAATTTTATTGTAATTTGGCGGTAGTATTCATAACATCAAGGAGCTAATTTAGCCCTAAATTTATTAAGTACAGTGGCGCCTCGAGGGGGATCTGAATGAATATTTGTGACAAACTGACTTTTGTGTAATTTTCATTGCATGCATTGGATTAAACAACCAGAAATGCTGCTTTTTATTTTTTTGATTTTTTTTTCGTATCCTGCTTAGTTTTCGAGAAAAAAAAAGTCCACTTAATTGCATATCCCTGGAATATCGAATATGGAGAAAAGTTTCTTTCGGAAATTATTTTTTTTATAATCTTTCATTACTGATTATGTAGCAACAACAACACATACTAAATAAAACTAACATCTATACACTAAATTAAGCGTTGGAAGTATCCCCCTTAGTCTAGCCGCCCCATCGTTAAATTACGCACTCTCCTGAAAATACCTGGCGTATTTTTTATTATGTCGCATGAATTGATGATTCTATTCCGCATTCATCTTCATTTTTAATAAGAGTTTTGTATACCTACGCTTTAAAGTGTCCCCAGAGAAAATAATCTAAGGGATTCACATCGGGCGCGCGAGGGGGCCACAGGTGAGACAAAAAAGTTGCATTTTTATTAGCTTAACACTTAATTAACACCCTGTATAATTGAAGTAGTCTTAGCCGGTTTGAAATCACCATTATAATATCAGTGATATTAATTCAGTACCTTTTACATCTTTATAAGAAAACATTACCAGGTAGCGGTTAAATACAGGTTAAGTATAAAGAATTTTTACTCTATGGATTGAGTATGATAAACGTATATCCTTTATAGTACTTTAATATCCTTCACAAAGAAAAAAATGTACGCTCAAGCATCCGTTTGTCACTTTGGTAGGCAAAGGTAGGCAAATTAGCCAAAATTATGCACTAAAATTACACAATTTCGGCGACACGCAATGCAATGTGTGCCTTTGGATTTCAAAAACAAAAACATACAATGGATGCTCTTTTCACATTACTCACTTTACAGTTATATTCAAATTTAAACGATAAATAAATTTCAATAGCTCTTTTTGCGACTTTTCCAAAGCGTTTGGCTGTGTAAATCATGATATAGTGTTACAAAAATTAAACAAATATTAAATAATAATAATAAATTCAGTCCTAAGCGTAAAATTATCAAGACAATAAATTAAATACGAGGGTGGCTCAAACATGAACCGGACTTTTGTTTTAGTAATTTTAGTGGTATAGTAAATACAAGTTTATTTACATTTTATTTTTCTACATAATTTCCTCTCTTATTATCGCATGTTTCCCATCGGATCGGAATTTTTTCAATTCTCCCATCAAATAATGAAGCTGGTCATGTCATGGTCAATTGTGCATGAACGTTTTCACACCTTCGTCGTCGTCAAAGTGGTAACCTCCCAGGTCTTCTTTTAGTGGCCCATACATCTGATAGTCACATGGCGGTAAATCGGGACTGTAAGGCGGGTGTTCAAGAGTATCTCAATGAATTTCGCGTAATATTTCTTCGCAAGGACTTTTTCTGCAGATAGACTGGTCTTTTCGCGGTACAGCCTCTACAGACTTTCGCCACTCCATGGACAATTTTTTGCCAGTCGTATACTTGTGTCTTATCGCCGAACTGTGCTGACAAAAATTTCTGCAAGTGTGCATCTCTTGCTCAGACATGATGCTACTAACAGCTCATGTAGTTCGGCGCACCAAACCGACTGCCTCCCCTCTTGCTGACATCCCCACCTAACATATAGCAAGATGTCGCCCCACTCCATTCACCTATGGCGCATTAAACAGAAAAGTCCGATTCATATTTGATTCACCCTCGTATAGGCCCAGGAGCACCTCAAGGATCAGTATTACGTCCAATCTGATTCTTAGTATATATCAACGATTTATTAACCGCATAAATGGTAAATTTGTCGTTTTTGCTGACGATACCACAATACTTTGGTAATACAAATGTATAAATGAAGTTATGGCACAAATTGATTGTGATATACAATCAATCCATAATTACTTGACTTTCAATGTTAATAAGACAACACCCAACTAGCAAAGTAGTGCTATAAGCTTTTGGTAAAAGAACCGTTCAGCCATAAAAGCTCTCTATTGTTGTTGCCTGAACACCAAAATGCTGGCTTAATGTTGTGTGGAATGCAAGTTTGCTTTTTGCAACATATTTGCTCTAAAATGGGGTGTTTAAAATATTCTTATAGCATAGTTACACAACACCTTATAGGACAAATTTTTAACTGTTGCATAAACGTTTATACAACTATTTTATACGGCATATTTGCAGGTTAGTCAAAATGGTTATGTTGTGGCATCCAAGGTAACGTTTATAAAACAAATCCGAGCCTTGTTGTTTTGCTGTGCAAATTTACTACTTTAGCCAACAAATTGCTCCCAAAGGAAGCACTTATACAACTGTTGTTTAGTAGCTGTTAAAGGCTGTACATATGCTAAATATGTTGGTATACAACTTCACCATAACCTAACTTTCTGCTGTCATATTTTTGTTAACATGCCATAACCACTGTTTTAAGACAAACAACGCATGCATATTGGTTCAAAAGGTTTTATCAACTGTTCAAACAGAAGATAATATAGATCTAGTACAAATTCTAGTTAAATCATTCGACTCGGTCAGTATTTCATTTCTGACATTTGTCTAATTGTTGTATAACGTCTGCAGGCAACACTAAAATATTCTAATAAACTAAAGACAACATAGATGATGCCATGATTATACACAATCACTCGCCATATTGGGCAAACATTTATTCCTCTAGTTGGTGTTAAATAATTATGTTTCAGTTCGAAATTACAGATATAAAGTGATAAAAATTAGTGTAATTATGTCTAAATATACGATTTGTGGAAGATTTAACGCATATAAGTTCAGTTTTCCATCTTAAAAATCCAGACATACTTTTGATCATTATCAAAATAAGAATCAAATACGAAGCCCGTAGAAATTGCGTAACTACTTTGCACGATAATCACAATAAAATTTGCTGCGCAAGTAATTCAATAGCCCTATATCACAGTGTAGAAGTTTATCATATACCTGTGTATGAAACTCACAATGGCCGATATGTAAGTAAACAAGATGACTGTATTGTGTTAGTTATATGTTCTTTACTTCGTCTATACAGTACATAAGAAATAGTTTGGTTGCAATAAAATAGAATCACGTAACAGAATAGTTGTATAGTTGACAAAAACTGAATCTTGCACTGACGCAAATGTGCTATAGCGGCTGCAAGAGGCTTACACTTTTGGTGTATAACTGTTACCTGCTGCCATTATACAACCTCTTAAATGACTGAAGTGTCCTATTAGGTGTGCCCATTCCGCTTGTATAGCTGTTCTAAGAGGGTTTTGCCAATATTCTTACAGTATACAATGCTGTGTAAGGAATACTGTATAATCATTCTTGCAACTCTAATAGGAGTGATAATTGTTAGTTGGGCATTTATGACATTTGAATGCTTACTTGGTTTTATAAATTAAAATAATGAATTGATACAAAAAACAAATTTTTGAGACTGACCATTGATCATATTAAAGGTTTCACTAATCAAGTAGACAAGTTTCTTTCTCAACTAGCAAAGATTTTTCTAATTTGTAGATCAATTAGTTATAACGTAGGAAAAAGCACAGCCTTAAGCAATTACTTTGACTTATTCGAAAGTAGATTGAGATACCCTTTTGGTGTACCTGTTCCCACAATTGTTTGAAAAAGGTACTCATTCGAAAAAAACAAACAACTAGATATAACTAAAAGCAATCCTAATTATACTTGCAGGCACTTAGTTGTAAATCTTAAAATAATGACTGTCGTATCATTGTTCACTTTAGAAACAGCAACTCTTATTTTTAAAGGTAGACTGAGATACCCTTTTGGTGTACCTGTTCCCACAATTATTGTTTGAAAAAGTTACTTATTCGACAAAAACAAACAACTAGATATAACTAAAAGCAATCCTAAATATACTTGCAGGCACTTAGTTGAAAATCTTAAAATAATTACTGTCGTATCATTGTTCACTTTAGAAAAAGCAACTCTTATTTTTAAAGGTAGATCTAAATTTGAAACATTAAATATAAGTATCAATACTAGATGAAAAAAGATCTCAAATTAGTAGTAGGAGAACAACACTTGTGAAAGATTCAACAATTTATAATGATCATAATTAACAATTCTACCCTGAGCTTAAAAACTTTTTAATGTGTGTGAGTTCTACAATTCACCCAGTTAAATTCCACTTATGTAATTATATTATAGTTTAGTTTTAAGTTAGCTTTGCCATTAAGGATTATTGTATTATTGTATTTTTCAGACAATAAAGCATATCTATCTATCTATAGACTTGGTTATTCTAATTCGTTGCTAGAGACTGATACAACGGTCAATGTCTTAAATGAATCTTAAGATTACCCCCTAGAAGCTTAAATTTTACTTTCTCAAAAGGATAGTTTTGAAGGTGTTATCTATAGTGAACAAATAATAGCTTTTGAACAAAACGTGCTAGAAACACTATTTTTAAAAGTTCCTTATTTGTTAGCATTGTGTCTACCATACCACTAATCTAAAAACTTATGATCTAAAAAACGTATATGGAAATATTTACATCTTGTCTTCTGCATAGAAGAAGAGATCTTCGTAACATGCAGAATGCATGTATTGTAAGTGCAACATCTTGATGTGGAACAACTTCTACGTGCGATTACAACGATTTCAAGCACTAAAACAAATACAAGCACAGTCAGTCTACCAAAGCCCGCATATAAGACACATAACATTATGTAAAGTAGCATACTCATAGTGATAGCCAAAAGTATGACGGTGCTATTCAACGTTACTTTATATAAAAAAATAAAACTACATTCCGACGAATTGGAGTAACTAAGTTAATTTCCTGGTCAATTTGTTCAGATCAATGATACGGATTGCAATTATAGCCCTGTTCGTACAGCCGTTACCAACCTGTCAGTGACCGTGTCCAAGATCCCGTCACACAAGTTCGCTTCGTTCTGCTACGCTATGTAGACGGAACTCCCACGGCCGGATCCCAGACACAGTCACCAACAAGTTACCGACCACTGTACGAACAAGTCTTAAAAGTCCTGATGATTTTGATTAAACAATTAAACTGTGCGCTTATATAACAAGTATCTTATGGGTGGTTCCAAGTTTCAAACGACTTATCATCATTCATGTAGCGTACTGGAATTGTTGAACTACTTGACAAATAAAGAAGGGTAACATTGCATCTCACAAACAAAGCTATCATTGTATGTAAAATATCAAAACTTTGATGACCATTCGTCACATTTCGGCCTATTCTTACGCGCAATATATACTAAGTGACATATAAATCCGAACACCCAGTTTAAATGGTTTTATTTTAATAAAATTTTGTATAAGTACTTAATGAAGCATAATAAGTAAATGATAAAAATTTCAAAATGATTGCACTGCTTTAAAGCCCTTTGACCTTTGATAATGTGTGGATGCACCCTGATGTGCTACGCATTCTCCAACCCGCCTAGGCATGATTCTGATCAGGTGGTCAATGTCCTCCTGTGGTATCTCATTCCAGGCAACCACCAACTCCTCTCGAAGTGCTTCTAGAGTCTGAGGAGGACGTTGCAAATTGAGCAATCTCCTACCCATCATATCCCACACGTGCTCAATTGGGGATAAGTCGGGAGATCTGGGTGGCCATGGTATAACAATGTGACATCATTATGTTGAAAGAAGTCTATTGTCACTCTTGCAACATGTGGTCGGGCATTATCTTGTTGGAAAGTTGGATCTGCCAGGGTGTCAAGATAGGGTAAAAGATGGGGTTCTAGAACTTCGTGGATATAACGCTGCGCGTTCATGTTACCTCTGATGAAGATTAAAGGTGACCTGGAGCCATAAGCTATAGCACCCCAAACCATAACTCCAACAGTGTGATGAACATGTCTTTCAACAAAAAACTGTGGATTCCTCCTTTCACCACGTCGCCTTCTAACCCTGCACGACCATCGTGCATGCCTAAACAAAATCGAGACTCGTCACTAAAGACAATACTGTTCTATTCCTGATCCCAGAGTGACCGTTGTCTGCACCACTCAAGGCGATTACATCGGTGTTCTCGAGTTAAAGGGAGGACCCAGTGTGGCCGGTATGAAAACAAGCCAAAACTTCTCATTCGTCGGTAAACACTTCGCATGCCAATAGGTCTTCCGTGTTCTGCAAACCATTCATTTGCAATGGACCTGGTAGTGGAGAAACGGTCCCTTAAGGCCAATAATCTTAGGCGTCGATCTTCACGGTCTGTTGTTCTACGGCGGCGTCCAGTGCCCCTTGCTCTTTGCGTACGGCCTTCTCGAAGCCATGCCTGACAACACCTAACCACAGTGTCTACACTTCTTTGCACTCTAACTGCAATTGCCCGAAAAGAAAGTCCAGCTTCCCGAAGTCCCACTATACGGCACCTATCAAACTCACTAAGTTGACGAAATCGTACAGGTCTCCGTACTCTAGGCATCGTAACCGATCGTAAAGGATGTCAAGAACCAAAATCCGCCAACTTTGATTCTTTACTGCGGCTGAAATATTCATTTTTAGAGCGTTAGTGAATTAAAAAAAAAAGCAGTATAAAAACCGGAATGTCCAACTGATGAGGCTGAAAATTTTTTCACTTGTTATTTACAGTAAGATAAATACATTCACCAACTTTTATTAAAATAAAACCATTTAAACTGGGTGTTCGGATTTATATATCACTTAGTATACTATAAATAATAATTGTTGAAGAGCTACTTCATTTGAGATCTGCATGCTACACTTTTGTCTGCCATTGAAACATAGGAAATTGTGCGATAATAATGTGTATGGTGAATTCGGGAAGTATGGATATGATAAACAAATACATGTATCAGGTGCGATAACGAAAACAGCAGTTGCAGAACAAACAAACATATGTAACGATATAAGATATAGAATCAATTCAGGCTTTGCAATCAAGCCTCAGGGTAATTGGTTTTCAGTTTTTGTTGTTATACTCTATTCCTCCCTTTATTTGTAAAACGTGTGACAATGTATTTCGAATGACGAAATCTTAAATGTTCAAATTCAGAAAGAATTTGGGACATCAAAAGACGAATGGATAACAGAGAGAATTTTGGGCCTTAAAGCTGAGCGGCTTTGAGCCGATCTCTACCTAAACTGAATAAGGAAGACCAATAACCGGTATACAAGTTTAATGTTGATGACTATTTTGCTGTATCCATTAAAATTATTCGAACTTCACAAACATAATGACTTTCACTGGAGTTTTTGGGGATGCACTGAAACTCATGAAAAGCGTAGGAAATCACCCTACAAATTTGCATTCAAAATATAAAAGAAGCCATGAACCTAATATGTCTAGTGCTTCATGATTTTATTACAAAAATAAATACAACCAGTAACTTACATTTTATCTTCTTCCAGGAAATAATCAAGGCCTAGCTCCTCCAGGTCAAACATGTTCCTAAATATTTGCTTATATTATAAAATAAATTCCTACATGTGTAACCAAAACTAGGTTGACGTACAAAAGTCCACACACGTCACTATTCGACGCGACGCGCAACGTCGTGGAGCGCCGCGGCGCCTGGTTTGACAATTGTTGGATCAATACCAAGGGCGTCGTTGCCCTTTTTCATGCCAGGGCTTTCCTCGCTATATAGGATGTTCCTTAATGATAGGCCGTATTTACAAGTGCGCATTCCTGAACCAGATTTAGGTAGAAAAGTTCATAAAGACGTGTGTCCTGCAAAGTCTGGTTCTGAAGATACAGGGTGTTAAAGTTTCATAAATACAATGCTTATTTATTGACAACTCAAAGATCCTGGTGCTGATTTTGTTGAATTTTGACATTCAATGCCATAAGGCGCTAAGTTAGCACTAACTAGAAGATACTTACAGTGGACCACCGATAATCCGGCCCCTGTCTAATCCGGCGCTCCCTGTAATCCGACATGTCTTTGAACATGTATTACATACATACGTATTTGACAATCTTCGCTAATGCAGATCACGCAGGTTTGAACAGGTTACAACTTGTACGCGCCACCGCTATCGTGCTCGACGCTTAAGCATTGTTTTAATTAGTTTAAATTTGACTACTGGTGATAGCGGTACGGCCTAGTGTGCGTTCATTGTTTACTATTTATTCATTGAGTATTAAGTATAGTACCTAGTAATGTCATCACAAACTCAGAAGCGAAAGCACAAAACATTGACAATTAAAGAAAAATGTGATATTTTAGACCGCTTAAATCGCAATGAAACTTTCAGTAGTTTAGCAAGTGAATACGGCGTAGGCCGATCTACAATTTATGACATTAAAAGAAACCACGAGAAGATCAAGAAGTTCGTGTCAACTACTGACTGCGGGCCATGCAAGAGACAGACACTTAAGAAAGCTGAACATCCAGAAGTGGAAGAAGCTTTGTACATGTGGTTTCTTCAGGTAAGAAATAGGCATGCACCAATTTCAGGACCCATGTTGGTCATGAAAGCTAAGTTTTTTTAGAAGGAAATAACAAAAAAAGATGATTTTGTGGCCAGCAAAGGATGGCTAGAACGTTTTAAAAGTCGTCATGGCATACGTTTACTGACTATTACAGGAGAGAAACTTTCTAACGATGCCACCTGCATAGAGAGCTTTAAATTAAGATTTTTGCAAAAGGTAAACGATTTTAATCTCGACCCGTCACAGGTGTACAATGCAGACGAATCAGGGCTTTTTTGGGGTGTGATGCCTAACAAAACTTTCATTTCTTGTAACGAAAAATTCGTACCTGGACGAAAAGTAAGTAAAGAGCGTGTAACCATACTACCATGTGCTAACGATGCGGGCACTCACGCCCTTAAGATGATGGTCATTGGGAAATCTAATAAACCACGGGCATTCAGAAACATTGATCTACCTGTACACTATTACGGATAAAAAAGTGCATGGATGACAAAAGACCTTTTCAAAAAGTGGTTTGATGAATGCTTCGTACCTGAAGTTAGAAAATGGTTAAAAGATCATAATTTTCCTCAAAAAGCGTTGTTGTTTCTTGATAACGCTCCCGGTCATCCGATTGAAAAAGAACTAACAACTGAGGATAAATGCATCACTGCGATGTTTCTTCTGCCAAATTGCACTGCACTGATTCAACCAATGGACCAGAATATCATTCAGTTTGTCAAGCAAGACTATTAGAAAAACCTACTTCTGAGAGCCGTATCAAAAGACCAACCAATAGAAAAATCTTTAAAGGAATTTAATATGAAAGACTTGGTTTTAGCTCTTTGTCAGTCGTAGAATGCGTTACCGTCATCAACTATTAAATCGTCTTGGAAAAAGTTATGGCCAGATAAGTCACCACTCCTAGCAACGTTCCACAAATCAGAACAAGTCGCTACTGAAACACAGATAAGTCCGGAAGATTTTGAAATCTGGTGCCGTGGAATGGATAAAGAGGAAAATGTTTTTCATGAAATGTCTGATGAAGAGATTATAAAAGAAGTTTCTAATTATACAACAAACAATCAGGAAAATAACGACGACGTGATTGCAACTGCTCCACAAGTCACAGCACAAGACGCAATTAACGCCTTTGAGCTAGGTTTACAATGGGCTGAAGAGAATGGTACATCCTACAACGAACTTTTACTTTTGAGAAGACTGAGGGACAAAGCTCTGATCTCGCGTTATAACAACCTTAAATAAAAAAAAATTGATGAATATTTCCAAGCTTCATAATTTGATAAATTCATTAATGATTTTGATTAATAATTCTTGATTATTTTGGTACATATGTATGTGCATTTATGCTTAATTTTATAATAAAATGTAAGCTCTCTATTGTTATTTAATTTACTAAATTCGACATACATAAAGTATGTATGATTTGTACTTCAAAGTACAAACATATACATGACATATATAATCTTACCATTGGATATGTAATTTGTCGGATTACAAGGTACTCTTTTGTAAAAATTCCGGACTATAGGGGGTCTTAGGCAGTGCTCTATAATCCGACAAATTCGATAGTCCGACACTGCCCTGCATAATGTTTGTCGGATTACCGGAGGTCCACGCAAACAATATTTACAAAAAACTGTACAGCACTCACTTTTTAAAAAATATATTTCTTTTTTAGGATGAAGCAGTCAATCATACAACTTCTTTGTCTATTGGTACCACTCCGTATTTTACTTCGTTTTCGAAGAAAAAATAAAAACAACTGCATACATGTCGAAAATTGTTGAGCTATGAGAGCGGAAGCCTGCATAGAAACGGTAGGTAGTCATTTTCAATATTTTTGTAAATATTTCGTCCAATTGTTGTTACATACTTTTCCTTACTGAAAAATGAAATACAAATAAATATTGTGTACGATCACATTCAATTGATTTTATTTTAACAACTTTTTCACATGCAGTGAAGTTGTTTCTATTTGTGATCCATGCGAATGTGATCAACCACTCTGGCGAAAACTCGCCGAGCGTGGCAACCGTGCGACTTTGTCTGGAGGCTCGTCGCTACAAGCCAATCAGGAAGAGGCCGACAGAGCGCCATATCTACCGATCACGCGTTGATCACGAATCAACCACTGTTTACGATTACTTTGTAGCTTCGTTAGATACACTTTAATTTTCTCTTCGAAAAAGTAAGATGTGAATAGATATCAAGAGAAAGGAAGAGTTGTCACTTTATGTGCCTAATTTGAGTACAATGTAAGTCTTACAAAAGTCATGGGCGTAGATTCTTTTTGAGAATATTATGTGTAAGACGGTCCCCAGAAATGATAGTGGCATTCATAATTATCTTCTAGTGCTGAAACGTAGCGTCTTATAACAATGCCAAAATTCAACATCAAGGGCGAAAGGATCTTTGGGATATTAATAAAAACTTTGATACACCGTACCACGAAAACCACACTTTTTAGGACATACATTTATATGAACTTTTCTACCTAAACTTAGTTTAGGAATGCGCCTATATAATTCGATCATTAAGTATCACACTGTATGGTATAGGAGGAATCTTCGCGTGATCTTGGAAAAATATTCTATTTCCCATAATCTTACTTAAAACTTTCAATGAATCTGCAAAATTGCGTCAAAAATTATTCAAGAAAATTCCATGAATCGTTTTTTTTTTCACTCTAAATACAGTTGGATCTTAATAAAACTCGAACCACATTGAGCGACTTCAAAAACGCTGGTAACACTGATAAGCACAGGATTTGTGACTTGACAATTTTTGGGTGTATCAAATGTATATTGAGACCCTTAAATCAAATCTAAAAACAGAATTTTTCTATCACCCACAGATATTCGGTAACATCTACTTTTATGAATTCCAATACGTAACACCTCAGATTGCTGCATTTCCCGGCGTTTATGCGATGACTCACATATATAATGTTAAGACCAGTCTATTCCTATTTATTGTATGCGAGCTCTATGTTTAGGGAGCATATTGCGTTTATCAGTAGACTAATAGCAGCCGAGTCAGTTACGTTTTCTGTGTTGAAGCGTTGAGTACCGTTAATTTTTGTTAAAACGGTGTGTTATTTTTAGTTTATTGTGATCGAGGCTAGCTTTATGGACAATGCCTAGGGACTGTGTAAATAGTGCGAATAGTTTTTTATGTGTACTTTTACTACCCTTGTGATGAAAGCATACGAACTTTATTTTGGAATTAAAGTTGGCGACCAAGATAAACTATGGACCCCTCATATATGTTGTAAGACGCTGGTTTGGAGAGAATCGATAGACCATACTACTGATTGCTATTTTTGCCTCACAAATATTAAAGGTATTGGACCAAATTAGAAACATACTGTAAAGTATTTTAATTCACCATCAGCTTTGCGACCCGTTACGCATAGTGATGAACTTTCTGTCCCAGTTCCATCAGAATCTTGGCCTTTGCATGAAAAAGTCGAATCCACCGATTCTGAATGTGTTGAAGTGATGGTACAGAAAGCGCCGCATTTGTTCATACAGGGCGAACTTTATGACTTAGTTCGAGAATTAAATCTGTCAAAATCCCTGTCAGAACTTTTAACGTCAAGATTGTTGGTACGCAACGGTAATACATATCCATCTGTACCTATAGCGCACGCAGTTCATATGAATGAATCATCCGAAAATATGGGAGTTTAGAGCATATCCGTTATAATGAATATGGATGGGTCATATGTGCAGATTTAAAGGCAATAGCCCTTCTTCTTGGAATGCAACTGGGACATCCTTATATTTTACGAGTATTAGCAGCAAATAAAATGTCTTATTGCAAGAAAACCGTGGGTGATAGAAAATCTCGAATGCTATTTTTGGCCTTTTGGGCACGTTTTACATAATAACCACCATGTTTTGACCATGTCACAAAAAATTATTTGAATTTTGTTCACCAGTGAACAATTATAAACGAAGATCACATAAACCAAGATCAGGCTCCGCTTGGTGGAATCAGACCCTTAACGTTATTAAATTTTCTTGCGACGGGATGTAAAATCGTTTGGAAACATAAGAACAGCAAAATAGTGGTAGCTGTACTTGTACGTTGGCGATCTAACTATCCAACCAAAGGACCGTGTTATTCCGGGCATTAACATCACACGATTTCAAGAGATGCATCCCATTTAAACTGTGCGCTAAGCTTAAGCTTTTATGACAACAGCAATAACCAAGGCTATATTGACCAATCACACTAAAACTACCAGCATCACCTTCATACTATACATCCATCTCCATCACACATACATACACTGAGAACCAAAACTGTCTGACGGCGTGAGTTCAATGTGTACGAGCGAGAAGTTTGTACAGATACATATGTTATAAGGAGATAGAAGCCAGCTGGATAGCGAAGCTCATCATCGCATTGCCTAGCAACTTTGACGCGGCAATCTTGCCAATACGTTTCACCAATTCCTTGAGTTAAGACGAATGTTGAAAATAAGCGTTAGTTTATTCTCTACGCCCAAATAATGATTTTAGTTTGAGCGTACACATTCTTAAATCGAATCTGTTTGGGATCCATTCCGGATCGGTCCTAACGGCGCTCCGCTTTAGGTCGAAATGAAATGTCACAAATTCAGCAACATTGCATCATTGGCTTTCTTCAAGATTATCCATACGAAATATATACATACTTCGAATACTTCGAAACACTAGTTTACTTAATTGATGTAAGCAATACTGCATATGTATGGTGTGACCCCGCAGGGGTATCATGTAAAAAACCTAAATAAAACGGCAAAAAAACCTTGCAAACTAGGTAGTTTTTATGGCGCGAACAGTCATTCCACGTTTGCTAATTAGGATCGTCGTGAACGTTCATTTAAGGAGGAATTACTCAACCAAACTACACGCATTATTGGTTGCATATGTTTTGTGAGGCCAAATGGTCCTTCTCTGTAGTTTTTATCTCTGAGAAGGTAGTTGGTTGAATAGCAAGATCGCATCTGGATGATTATGTGTATTGGTCTGCATATTTATAAAATCAGTGATATTTGCTGTGTGAGAAAATCATTACTGAATATGCTGCCAATGAAGTTATATCTGTTGACTGTGCCCGACGGGTTCTTTTAGGTTGTGCTTTCTGAAGAGAGGTTATGTTCAAAGTTATAAATTACGAAAAACTGAGGAGAATTGAGGGAAATCATCAACGCGCCCGCGTTGTGTGTAATTACTGTTAGCATGTATAGGGCTTGTAATTCGGCAGTGTACAGTGAATATAATTATTTCTTATCTGTCTCATTTTTGAAATTTAGTAAATGTGTACAGGTAATTTCTAGAATGGATAAGCAAAAGTGGCTGCGCAACTAATTTCTAGCTTTGAATCTCAATTAAGTGTATTTGAGACAATAACCCAACATCAACACATACAACTTACAGCTTAGACCTCCAGTAATGCCATCTCAGAAGCAGATTTTACATCATATCAGAGCCAAAGATTGATAACAAGCCTCATGCTGCTTAGACAACACGTACAACTAAGTGCTTATTTAACATCTTGTAGAAAAACCTACATAATGTCAAAAAAACAGCGTAATGTCAAAAAAAATATCGGCATGTCACTTTTTAAGATACGTGATTCCCGTGCCGTATAGTTCAACTGGCAGCCCAGCAAAACTAGATAGGATCGTTGAATCAAATTGACAAACAACCAAAGCAATTGTCAAACAAACGTCAAAGCGTGTCAATAAAATCAGTCGAGACAGATAAATGTTTATTAATACAGTTCTGTTAGCTGCAATAGCAGTACCGATACTACTGATGACCATCTCTTCGGAAGCAGAACGTCAGAATATGGAAGTTGTAGCAATAGAAGGACCTAGAGGCCCAGATAAGCCAGCATATTATACAAAAGTAGAACAGAAACCCATCGTGGAAGAAGTCAAATCTGCTGCAGATACCCCATCCTATTGGTCGTATGCTCTGGATCGATTGAAAGGAATATCTCTTATGCAATTAATGATATTGATGGGACCATTCTTAGCAATACAGCTGAAGAAATTTATAGCAAAGAAGATGTGTTGTGTTACTAAGCGTGAATAAAGATGTCAAGTAATTGTATCGTCTTTATTTTTTCGCTGGCAGTAACTATCGACAAAAAGGCAACCAATTTAATATTGTACAAATAATATTCAAAATATACATTTATAAATATTTTGAAAATCCTTCCTTTCAGGATAGCCGTTGAAGCAACAAATACGTAGTGTCTATTTTAACCCTTGACGGTCAGGTTCATCTTTTTCTTGTGAAATCATCAATTTTATATACTATACTACAAATAAAAAAAAGTAGCAATAATAATGAATTAATTGCAAATATTTTCTATGTATATGTAGGTATATTGATAAAGAAATTGGCCCTTGTTCATCGTACAATAAATATGTTATAAAGATCTGCTTGAATCTGTTGATCATGCCTAGATTGAAAGGCAAGAAAGGAAAGAAAAAGACACCAACTCTCTATTCAACAACAAGATAATGCACGACGACGGTCTATTTTTGGCCCTGGCCCTTAGATCTCTAGATTTTCCACCCAATGAACTCGTCTGGCACATTATTGGAAGAATGAAGACGGGTCCACACTATGTAACAAAACATGTTAAATAACAAAGTTTTGTAACTTGTTACAGAATTTTAGATAAAAAAGTTATAAAACACAGTGTTGTGTAACATTTTGCAGGTTATATAGCATGTTTTATGTTATCCATCAGTTGTCGGTAAAGATCAAAGAAAGTTATAAAACTTTGTTGTAAAATCGCAGTGTGACTGGTATACACTTAAAAACAGGTTATTGAAACATTCCCTGGAACTGTGAATAGTGTTTGGAGTAGTACAAGAACGGGAACCGTCGGTGTCACATCGTCTTGTTTGTTTTGCTACATTTTTCTGTTCACGATGGAATGGTCGAAAGAATTGACTACTCATTTAATTGAACTATTTCGTGAGCAACGAGTATTATGGGATCCTACATTTATGGATTTTAAAAATAGAAATAAAAAACACGACGCATGGACTGAAATAGCCGCAGAAGTGAAAACAGATACATATGAAGTTGAAAAAAAATGCGCATGCTGATTGGGCAATTTCAGCGAGAATTGAAAAAAGGAAAGAGTGGCGATGGAGCTGATGCCCCTTTTAAAACAAAATGGCTTTTTTTTTAAAATGCTTTTATTTTTAAAATGCTTTTATTTTTAAAAGACAAAAATGAGGAACGTCATTCTACTGAAGGTGGTCTATCTCTCAAGCAAGATACTGAGACACGGGACACTGGGAATATCACTGCGGTTGAGGTAAGCACACTTTAAATTAATAACCAATTTGAAATCAAAAATTATTCTGCCACGGCACTTTCCCCTCCTTGCTGGTAAAGTACAAAGAAAACTCCTCTCGTATTTCTTTGCCTAGCACGGTAGGTTTCCTGGGAATCTTTTTAAGTTTTAGCAAAGTACCATTTGGCTGACCTTCGACTCTCCATGTACCAGGTATTAATTCTCCCGTCAGCGCGTCCTCTGAATCAAAAGTTCCTGGTGGACAGTAGGATGAAGTTGATTGACCTTTTCGAAGAAAATTATGGAGATAACAACTTGCTAAAACTACCCTTTCTGCCTTTTGAGGCTCAAGAAGTATTGGTTTTCTAAACACCCTGAATATAACAGACATAATTCCAAATGTATTTTTGACTACACGTCTTGCTCTGCTGTAATTGTAAATCCGAGCCGGTAACTCTTTTTGTTGAGTGCCTGGGAAGGGTGTTATCATATGCGGCTGTAAAGCAAATGCCTCATCACCAAGAACCACAAAAGGTGAAGTTGATATTCTTCCCGGTAAAACTTTCATTGATGGGAGACTCAAGGAAGAGGTTTCAAGTAACTTTTTAAATGTTGTATTAGCAAATACTCCGCCATCAGACAAACGACCTTGGCAACCTATGTTTACAAACGTAAAGCAATAGTTAGCGTCCATTATAGCTAAAAGCACTATGCTGAAAAATCCCTTGTAATTGAAATAGTCGCTTCCAGTATTTATTGGAGCTTGTAAGCATATGTGGTTTCCATCGATACTGCCACAACAGTGAGGATAATTCCACTTCTGGTCAAAATCATTTGCAATCTATTGCCATTCCTCTTGATATTTGGGTACCTGAATAAAGAGGAATTATGCTATATTATTATATTCATTTCAATACATGTTATAAGTTCTGTTTCTAGAAGAATCACAAACCAGTCAGAGCCAATCGGACAGCTCAGAAACAGTCAGAGAATTGACATGTGACAATTTTTAGATCAAATCATTGACTCTGACTGGTTTGTGACGCGTCTTCTTGAAACAGGCCTTTAATCGTTATATACAAGTTATATAGCAAAATACTATTTTCGGTTTTTTCTGATTTTATAGGAAGAAGAGCGATCACAGCCACATGCAAAGGTGCAAAATGATACAACAAAAGTCAAGAAAAAACAGTAAATGAAACTATTGCACGTATACCTATAACTAAAGGCAACAAGAGAATGGCAAAAGACACGAAATCTGAAGAAGCGTACGCGGCAATGAAAGAACTATCAAGTAACGTGAAAAAGCGAGATGACTTTGATGTGTATGGTGAATATGTAGCGACCACCTTGCGACACCTTAAGAGCAAATCGGTGCAAATCTACGCCAAATTTGAAATAAATAATATTTTCTATAGAGCAGAGTGTTCAGACATACAACCTGGGACATCCACCACTCCGTTCGCTACACCGACGCCCGCTGCTTCACCAGCTACATCAGATCAAACAGGCACTAAATCATACAATATACCTGAGGCATCCTCCATTCCGTCCACTACACCTACACCCGTAACTTCCCCACCTACACCAATTCAAACAGACACTGACACTCAATCATGCACAGGTGCAGATACCGAGGATGAATTAAATTTCACGCAAATGTTACTTTCTCTGTGAAACTAAATGAATAAAATGTTTAAAAAATATACTTACTTTGATTATATCTCTTAAATAGTCATTGAGAGCGTCACAAAATTCTGGCACAATATTAGAAATACTCTGCTTAGAAAATTTAAATAAATAGCTTAAACTTTGGTAAGAATCTCCACTTGCTAAGAATATCATCGTAACTGCTAATCTTTCTCTTACTGGAATTGCATCTCGAAATGTTGTGTCTTTCCTGCCTATTTTATGGCCGATTTCATTTATAAGATAGTCAAAATCAGAACTTGTCATTCTTAAGAAGTTTTTAAAACTGCCACCACATTTAATGTCTCCTGTCGATGGGTCTAGGTCATCTCTTTTCAGATCAGTTAAAAGAGCGGTACCACTATATATTTCTCGAGCTTTTAATGAAGGCCGCACCCAAAATCTTCGCTTTACACGTCGGTGCCGCCTGCACAAAATTACGCAAGCTGCTGCTGCCATTATGGCATCCTCTACGTTTGACGACATTTTACATACTACCACCTACCAGCTAAAATGCTGCGAAAATTATGCGCAGTTTTTTGTTTTGTATTTTGTTATATAGTCTGGATGCTTGTGCTATATTATAACAAATTACACAACAAAGTTGTACAGCAAATTTGTTGTACAACTTTGTCATTAACATATTTTGTTACATAGTGTGGACCCGTCTTTACTCCGCTTACAATTCCCCACAGACTCTAGCGGCTTGAGGTACAAATAGCCTTAGATGAGATACTTCAAGAGGAAGTCGATCATCTGAGTAGGGCTATGCTCAGACCAGTTTCTGAGTACACAGGACATCGTAGAGGCGCAACAAGTTATTGTTTCACATTTTAACCAACAGTCGGACTTTTATAAAATTTTGAACAATTACTTACCTAATCATAATGAACGTTTATACAAAAAATTGTAGTAATAAATTGCTTTGCGACTATACAGATCTGATATCATTACAAGACTCTATATTCTGGAGGAGCGTTAAGCGTTTCCAGTTGGATGAGCCAGCACTGAGTAACTCTTGGAGAAGAGATATTGGGAGCCCAATGGGGTCTAAAGGTTGTTATCTTGATGTTTTCTGGATTATTGACGACTTAGATATATGGTAAATTGTGAGTGTTATCCAAAAGATCCATAAAAAATAAACAAGGTCTTTATTTTTAGCCGGAAGACCTACTTTTGACCTAATTTGGAATATTAAAATCTTTCAAGCCACTGAGGCTTATAGAATCGCTCATACCAATTCACGCAGCTTAGGTGAAATCGCGGCAAGAAAAATAAGTACTGCTTTGTTTTTCTACATTTTCCTTTCATAAACGAACTATGCACGCTTATGGTTTACGCAATATTGGTATTCAAATTGTTATAAACAAAACAGTTCCTTCGAATGCATTCAACAGCAAATATGCTATTTTCTATTCTGTTTGTCACGTTTAAGTTTTTATGTCTGTGTCAGGGATTCAAAATCCCATCAATTAAGCTTGAAGCCTTCAAACCTTCTGGATTTAGAGCAAGTTTAAGAGGTAAGTTTTTCTCACACTTAATTACTAGTGGTTTGTAAAAGTGTGTGAAACAAATCTGAATACCAGATTTAGCTAAATCGATTTGACTATTCATAAGAGAAAGCGTTGACATTGTAAGAACCATTGTTTTCATAGGTTTTTCAAATTTTTTGATATTTTTGTGTGTAATTTTTGAAGTGTCATTATTTAAAAAATATTCTTGTACATTAATCACGTTATGAGTTTTGAAGTTTTCCAAATATTCGTTTCACCATTTATGTAACTATGAAAATTTTACTATGCATTCGTCATGTCTCGTCAGCAGAAAACAGGGAAGGAGGATAAAATTAATAAAATTGATGTTTTTTATCTTTATTAACCACTTAGATACAAAATAGTGCATATAGTGAAAAAAAGCTATATAATATAAATAAAACGTATAAAAATATAAGTAAAAATCAATATAAATATAACAATTAATAAACATGTTCAATTCCATCTCTAAGTACTCAAGGTTGTACATTAAATGTATTTGTGTTATAAAGTGCATTTGATGCTAACAATTTTTTTAATAATTACTGCTCTGCTGTACTTCAACTGGTAATTTGTTGTAGAATTTGATGCAGTTATAGTAGGATAATTTTTTGAAAAGTTGTGATATGTGTATGCAGGATTTTTAAATTTTGAGTTCAAGTTTTATAATTGTGCCGAGCATTAATATTTGGGAACAGGCTATTCAACTTCTTAATGTACGTTACACATTTCAAAATGTAAATACAGTATGATGTGAGAATTTCTCATTACTTAAAAACATCTCTGCAGGAGTCAAGTGACTTCTTACCTGAAATTAATCTGACCCTTCTTCTTTGGGCAGCAAATACTAGGAAGATCCCCCCCCATGTTATAATGTTATAAGAAATGCGGCTATAAGCCAGCCCATAATATACACTTTTTCATTTAGGACATCTCTATGTCGTAAAATTTTCATCAAAATTTTTCAATCAAAATATGTATCAAGTAATTTACAAGAAAATAAGACCATACCTATTCAAGTCTAAGTCAACTGTACGTTGGATGTTAAAATTGATAACAGTTTTATTGAAATTTAAAATTAACCAATTTCTTTAACACCAAAACAGAGATTTGAAGGGAATGGAGTGAAGGTGATTGACACTTTTTGCAGGTATAATTATAGTGGGATCAAGTGTAAACTTGGTTATAGGTATGATCAAGCATATCACTAACCTATAAATTCAACAGCAGTGATCCCCGAGGTACATGGTGTTCACCAGGATATATATCAGATGTTGTACTTCCAACTTTAACTTTTAGATTTCTGTCCTCTATGTAACAGATGACCCAATTCAAAAAGAAGCCCCTAATGCCAGCATATAATTTTTGCTTAAGTATGATGCTGTCTATAATGTCGAATGCCTCAGATAGATCAAAAAGTAAAGATAGTACATATTCACTATTGTCAAGTCTGCTATATTCAAGCAAATAATAGCTTCATGCTTCGATGTATTTCGCAGCTCTAAGTCCATGTTGGCATACATTCAGGATATGGGATTTCTCAGAAAGAACGCATGCTTCTTAAATGAGTAGTACAGTCAAAATAAGTATGGGAAAATATTTTATTATATCAAAATACTCAGGAATACATGTCATTTTTTTGAATAAAACAAAATTTACGTTCTAAAAACTATGTCGGACATATGGCGTCCTTGAGCCGAAATGCAGGAATCAAACCTCTCCCGAAATGAGCCTATTGCGTCGGCCAGCATCCGTGCAGGAATTTGGGTTACTTCTTTTCTTATTTCCTCCTTCAAATCGACGAGGATCCGAGGCTTGTTTTGGTAAACTTTTGATTTCATGTAGCCCCATAAACAAAATCACACGTTGACAGGTCCGGGGAGCGAGGGGCCATGGAATATCGCCATGACGTGAAAGGAGACGTGATGGGAATTTTTGCCGAAGAAGTTCCATCGAAGTGCGAGCTGTGTGAGATGTTGCCCCGTCTTGTTGAAACTACACTATTCTGAGACGGACACGTCGACGTCGAAGTTCCGGAAAAAAAGTTGTTCACCAAGTGGATGTAACGCTCGGAATTCACAATAGTTGTTTCTCCATTATCCTCAAAAAATAAGGGCTAATAATTATCGTTAGGCCTACTGCACACCAAACTGTAACTTCCGGGGTATGCAGGGGGGCTTATGCAACTGTTGGGGGCTCACTGGAGACCAATATCGAAAATCTTGTTTATTGACGTATCCATGTAAATGAAAATTTGCTTCATCACTCATAAACAACGTCATGTCATTGTTATCCAATCATGAGCTGTTCAAAATTAACACGTTGTGCATAATCGTTATTGTTGACGTTGTTGACAAACTTGGATTTTGTAAGGATGGAACACTAAATCCTTCTTCAAGATGCAATGTACAGAGGACGCGTGGATCCCTAGGGAACTGGCATGCAAACGAACGGAACGATTCGGGCTTTGCAGCGTGTCAACTCTCACTCTGTCTACGTATTCGAGGGTTCCAAAAGTACGGTTTCGCCCTGGCGGTTTTTTTTTATCACATTACCTGTTGTGTTGAATGCTTCCACTCATCTCAAAATGATGTTACGGTCTGGTAGTGTCCCACGACGTGGAACACGAAAGTGAACGCGAGACTCACGTCGCGTTCGAACGACAGACTCGCCATTTCGAAAGTAGCGACGTACAGTGAACACACGATGCTCAATGTTCCAAACCTCCTTGCCAACTGGAACGGCACTTCTCCCACCACCCAACACATCCTTCCCCACCGACACGGAAGCATCCCTGACGGACCCTGTTCATGGCCTTTTCTGGTAGCTTTGATATATTGCTCAATAACAAAATTTTACGACAGTTGTCAACGTTATCATGTTCGCCTTTTTTAAATATAGGTATAATCATCGCTAGTTTTAATATTTTTGGAAAACAACTACTATCAACAGATTCATTAAATAAAAATAAAAAAAAAGTATCAACAATAGAATTAAGAATTTCATTTAAAAGTTGTAAAGTAATATTGTCAAAGCCAGTAGACCTTTCATTTCTAATTTTGCTTAAATCATTTTGTAGCTCATTTAAGGTGGAGCGTTCAATAAAAGTAAAATTTTCTCTGTAAGATGAAATGGTACATCGAAGTTATAAGTTCTGGTCCATTTTCTGAGAGACACAGGTAGATAAGTTCAGCGCAAAGAAATGTCATATTTCTGGATCAGAACTTATAAGATTTTCCTGTGAGTCCTTCATACTACATAAATATATCCTTTTTTTCAGAAGATGATCTGTTAAGTTTTATATTGATTATTTCCACGTCTCCGCTACTATATTGTCTGCGTTACATTTTCTTTCCGATTAATAATGTGTTTTTGTTTTGAATACTTTAGCGGTAATTTTCCTTTTTCTTCTAAATAAAGCTCTTTTATCTCTGGTGTTCCAATATCGAACATTAAATTAATGCAAATTCCTTATATGGTTTCCTTGAGATTTTGTAGTTTCATTAACCCAATCTTTATGCTTTTGCTTTTTTAATATCCCTTTCACGGCAAGATAAATTCAAACAATGTTAAGCATTCGACAAAGTACTTAAACGCATTATTGATGTCTGAGATATATAGAGTTCTTAATAGATGTTTAAAGTATTCAATACAAGTGCTATTTAGATCCTCCCGAGTGCTAACTTTTTACTTTTTCCTCATTTTTAGTACGAGGGGTATACATTATTTCCAGCAGTTGCGCAAAGTTGTAGGATAAAAGAGGATTGAAAGTTTCGCACATAGTTGATTCATCTGGTAAATTTGTAATAATTTATCGATAGAACTGAGAGAAGTGATACCTAAGATGTTGGTAAATACACCTGTACGAGGGATGTCTTTTAAGTTTTGCATATAGAAACATAGTAGGCCGCGCGGATCAAACGTCAGTACTGAATCTTAACCTCACTCTTTAGTAAACTTAAATTCAAAGTTTCACAACAATACGTGCAGTGTTCTCACTACAGTCACCAAGTCATTAGAAAAATGGAACTCAACCGAGAACATTTTCGCGCCATAATTTATTACAACTTTCAGAGACAATTATCGCAACAAGAATGCCTTGCTGAGTTTTCGGCAATGAAGCGCCACATCAGTCGACAATTTCCAGTTGTATGGAGAATTCAAACGTGGACGGGTGAGTCTTAGCGACGATCCCAGGGTGGGTGCACCAAAAACGGCAGTCACCCAGGAAAACGTCGATGCTGTGTGCAAACTCATCATTGAAGATTGACATGTGACATATCGCGAGCTTGAGGCATCCTTGAAGGTCTCAAACACCTCAATTAAAAAAATTTTACATGAAGAATTAGGAGTAAGAAAATTAGTTTCTTGTTGGATATCCCACCTGTTGACTGAAGAGCAGAAAGCAGCCAGGGTTAATTGGTGTCACAAAACGCATGACCGTTTCAATTCTGGAAACCTAAAAAATGTGTACAGTATTGTTAGTGGTGATGAATCGTGGATTTACTGTTATGAACCAGAAAATAAACGCCAACACAAGTCATCCGTTCTCGAAGTTTTTCGAAAAAGATCGTCGCGACATTTGTGTCAAAAGCGGGTCATATTGCAACAATTCCTCTTAATGAGCAAAGAACTGTTACGGTGGATTGGTATACCACCATTTGTTTACCAAAAGTCATCACCGAGCTTCGAGAAATCAACCCCGAATGAAGAATCATCCTCCACCAAGACAATGCAAGCTCGCACACAGCCCAAAAAAACAAGGCAGTATTCAACGGAAGAAAACGTGGAATTATTGGACCATCATCCATATAGTCTGAAGGATTTCTTTACTTTCCCGAAAATTAAAAACTGCTTAGTCAAAGGTTCCAATCACCAGAAGAAGAGTTGACGCATTCAAAAATGCCGTTTTGGATCCGCCAGCAAACGAGTGGAATAAGTGCTTCCCAGATTGGTTCGAGCGCATGCAGATGTGTATTAATCTTCGTGGAGAATACTTCAAAAAACAATAAAGTAATTTAAAACTACCTACCGTGTTGTTTTATTTCCATATGCAAAACTTAAAAGACATCCCTCGTATATACAGTGGTGGTGCAAGATCGTAAATTGAAAGAGTCTAAGATACCTATGAGTAATCTACTACTAATAATCTACTAATCTCTTCAGTGGCAACTATATTGAGATTACCTCATATATCTATATAGTCGAAATCTTCATTGAAGAAATTGCTGAAGAAACTGACGCGGCAAAAATGTCAATGAACAGTAACTCCCTTTTCCTATATACGATATAATATCATATATGAGAAAGTGTGGATATTGGTTATTCATTCACGTTAAAATGGCTGAACGGATCTGGACGAAATTTGGTAAAGAGATAAATTATAATCTGGAAGAGCACGTAGGCTATTTTTATCTTTGCAAATAACTCTGAAATATTTATTCCACGGGCTACATCTCAAACGGCTTAATAGAATTTAGCATGAGCTATATGACGCGGAAGCACTCGGTCGCTGGTCCGACCGAAATAATAATAGTATTGACAATATTTATTAACTCGATGTACAAAGAGAACAAAAAACATTAGTAAATAAATATAGAATCAAAGAAGGCATTGCCTGTACATGGACCAATAAGTTTAAGTTGCAACTGTAGAATGCAAACGTTAAGAAAGGACAAAAAATAGTCACAGTAGATTATGAATTTACTTAATGTTCGTATTTATGAGTTTATGAATTCCAGTCCTAGATATAGAATGTAGCCTCTTTTTTAAATTTGTTTTGAATCAAGTTCCGAAATGTAGATATTTTAAATCTTTAGGTATAACTTCATACAATTTGGGCGCTAAAGAGAGGTACTGACGCTGCATTATAGATTTAAGCTATTGAGCAACTACTGTGGCACGAATTGTGTACCTTGTGTAATGATTCTGTTTAATTTTTTGGTCGGTGTTGACAAATTTATGGTAGTATTTGATACTGTGTAAGAAAAAATAAAGAAATGAGTAAGGATATATAAATAGGATATGTGCATCGTACATTTAGAGCACTTCGACATTCGTCTTCTTTTCATGATCGTCTTGAAGGATTTTTTTTGTACTTTGTTTTACTTATAACGGGTGATTTTTTAAGAGGTATAGGATTTGATTTTCAAAAAAACAACACAAAAAACTTGAAAAAAACGCTTAAATCTTTATTTGAGTCGATAGAACGGTCGATATAATTTAATGTTTAAAGATTATTTCATGTAAATGTTGGCCGCGGCTCCGCTTTAGATGGCCCATGCGCAAGGTCCAATTTTGGCACACTCCAACATATCGGCCGGTATCTCACGAATAAATGCTTCAATATTGACTTCCAGTGTGTCAATCGTTGCTGGTTTATCCCTGTAGACATTAGCTTTAACATGGCCCCACAAGAAATAGTCCAAAGGCATTAAATCACACGATCTAGGCGGCCAATTGACGGGCCCCAAACGTGAGATAAACTGTTCACCGAACTCGCCTCTCAATAGGGCCATTGTTTCGTGTGCTCTGTGGCATGTGGCACCGTCTTGCTGAAACTACATGTCAGCCAAGTCCAGCCCTTCCATTTTGGGCAAAAAAAAGTTTGTTATCATCGCACGGTAGCGCTTGACATTCACAGTTACGTTCCGGCCATTGTCGTCTTTGAAGAAGTACGGCCCGATGATACCACCGGCCCATAATCCACACCAAACCGTGATTTGTTCGGGATGCATTGGTAGCTCTTGCAATGCTCCTCGCTGGTCTTCACTCCAGATGTGGCAATTTTGCTTGTTAACGTACCCATTCAACCAGAAATGAGCTTCGTCGCTGAACACAATTTTTCGATAAAAATGTGGATCTTCCTCCAACTTTGCCAGCGCCGATTTACTAAAGGGGAAACGTTGTGGGGGGTCGTGTGGCTTCAATTCTTGCAGCAGCTGTATCTTATAAGGTTTTACACCCAAATCCTGTCAAAAAATTTTCCACGTAGTGGAGTAACAGAGGCCCAATTACTGCGAACGGCGGCGAATCGACATTTCACGGTCATCACTAACACTGGCGGATACAGCCGCAATATTTTCTTCAGTCCTCACTCTACATCTGCGTGTTGGTGGTTTAATGTCCAATAATGTAAATGGGTTCGAAATTTAGTCACAAGCTTCCGAATAGCTCCCTCAGTAGGCCGACCAAATTGCCCATAAACTGGAAGCAGTGCTCGATGCACTCTCTTAACCGAGCATGAATTTTGATAGTAAAATTCAATAATTTGCAAGCGTTGTTCGTTCGTAAGTCAATTCATGGTTAAATTATAGATCAAACTGAACAAGTTTGACAATGACACAAGACACGATTCACGCGTCATCTATCAAAAACAGTGTTGCCAAAAAGATACTAGCAAAAAAATCACCCACACCTACAAGTATAATACTGTGAATAGATAGTTATTGGGTTGGTATATTCAGAGATATGCCACACAGGCTGTGAGTTACTCCATGTACTATTTGGTATTAATTTATTGTTCAATAAAAATGCCCCTTGCCAAAAAAACTGTTGTTAAACCTTGAACATTGCATTCTCCTTCACATTAATGCAAAACATACTTTATCCTACTTCCACGCGGACGGAGCCGCAGGTTTAGGCTAGTCTCAAATAAATAGTATTTCTTTTCAGCTGAATCTGGCATTGAACGGTTTGCTTTCCATGGCAATAAAAACAAAGAGATCTCGATGAACGAACCTGGAGAGTTCTCAGCAGAAGTCCGATACACAGGAGGAGAATGGGTAGTTTACGATGACTCAGATGTGTCTCTCTCTGTTGGTGATGTCGTCCATTATTGGGTGTTTGTACAACATGAACGTATGGGATACAGAAAAGACGCCCAGAATTGGACTGTGGACGGTGGGATTATTTTTTGAAAAAACAGCGTTATAGTCAAGCACTACAATGAAAAGAAATATAGTTGTAGTCACCGTTCTTGGTGGGTCAAAGTAATACTACCAGTAGCCCTTTATATATATATCCATCTCCCTCATACATACACATGCAACCTACCCCTGCGTGTGAACGTTGGTTCGGCAAGCTCAAAGACATACGTTTTTTAGTTGTGTCTCTCCGTCTCGAAAGCTTTGTCGTTACATATGAGTGTCCTTCAATCATATTTGTCAGTGACAACTTATTTGACATCGGCGTGCAATTTTAGTTGTCCTGTTGTCAGTCTTCAATATAAAATTGTACAATCCCTGGTAGTACGATCAATGGAGAAGGCTGACAGCTCATGTTAAATTCATTAGAGTATTTCCAGGACGAAAACGAAATCAGCGGTCGCCTGTTACCTACTTCATGCGTACTGGAGAGAGTAGCAGATGCGCTGAATATTAGGATCCGCCCTTGTTACGGAGACTCGAACTGTTTATTTCATATCGCGTTGATGACGTGACCGCCAAGAACGTGACTACAACTATACCATAGTTTATCGTATAACACTGCTAAAGCTACGGTTACTATGGATGCGAATACAGACAAAATTTTGTTCTGACGAATACGTGCGAGATCCTGGTGAGAACAAGGCGGTTACACTATGCACGTTTTCTGAACTTTAGGTAGTCGATGTGTGCCATCTAACAAATACGAAGTTGACAAATTTTATTTCTTCAAAAAACCTTTACTGTTATTAAATGGTGTAAAAACTGAACATGTCAATTCATTTGTTTCTAGTAGGGATGACAACTTGCCTTTATGACATTAAGGCTCCGCACAGACTGGTGCGGTAGCCAAGCGGTAGGTTGGGTAGTCAGGCTGAAGCGAACTTGTTGAGCCATCTAGAGAAAAAAGTACCAAATTTCTTTGTAACAAGCGTCTTAAGTTGAAAACATAACCTTTTGAGAAATGACATATCATCAACCGTTAGGGAATAGTTGCTTTCTTTTTTGATACTAGCATGAGTTTTAATCCTTCTACTATAACTATAGAGCTGAAAGACAAAAATGGATGCGACAGGGCTATAACCATACTAGAAAGCCGGAAAGACGTTTGTGTTGGTGATAGTATAATAGACGAAGAATTCCAAGATTTGACAGATAATGATAAATGGCAGATTGATCATTATATACCTGTTGAACCAGTAAGTATTCGGATGCAGCCTAGCCAATTTGTTTGACTTTTTGTATCAAATTGCAGGATTACGAATTCGTTGTTTATAAAAGGGATCCTGATGTAGTATACACAAAGAATGGTACTCTTGTCATCAAACCGAAAATAGTTGAAAGTATGAACAGGGAGATAGACTTAAGAAATGGGTAAGCATGCTATATATCATAAGTGCCGTCAGAATTGTATCAGCTGTATTTGATACGTTAGAATTTGAACAGCCACGAAAGAAATTTAGGTTTCCGGAGTGCCCCAGTGCGCTTCTTGGTTTGGAAAGTCTGATGGCTTTCAACGGCATCAAGTGTGATCCTTTCAGTATTCGTGCTATCTTGAATGGTCGTCATGGATTATTTTAGAGTTAAGTAGAAGCAAATTGGGTTACACTCTGAACGTACCTTGGCATAAAACTGTCCAATATAGGAAGGCATTTTCTTACATCGCACCCAATTTATACAATAGGTTGCCATTAAGTGTGGACACTTTTCAAATTTAGTTTCGCAAAGAAAGTCAAGCTATTCGTTTTGAACAATTTTTGAACAAGTTTTTAATGCCTTTGTTCAAACGTGTATCTGGCTTTTCATTTGTATATTGTATTGTGCCTTATGGAAAATGTAAAATATTCCTCTTTATTGTACCGAGCCTTATTTAATTATGTCGTGTGTGCCTTGTGACATTTTCTTTTTAATCTGTTGATAGATCGATTGCTTCAGATCATTTTAAAAGTTCTTACTCATTCAATTCGATTTGAATTTTTACTGTTCTTGCATATAAAAAGGGCTTTTCAAAAAGATTTTACTGTTTTTTGTGTAGCTCTGGTTGGTGGTGAGAGCAGCTTTATAGCTGATACCCGCTAGGTAAAATAAAGCGCTATTATTATTACTATTATTATTAATTTTGCTTAGATTCTAAATATTTCAGTGGTTATTTCAAAGACATGCTCATGCCATATTGGGTTTCACCTGTTTTACGTATTTATGGCCATATCGTCAGTCGTTCCTACAATATATTGTAGGACGCCTTTATGGCCTCCTTGATTTTCATAGTTTTCTACTGTTCCGTATTAGCGCTCTATTTTGAGGTTGTGTCACAAATATCTATTTGCATAAAATTCTTCATGGTTTTGATTTACATCATGACTTTTATCAGCCCGACATACTCTACAATTCAAAAAGAAAACATAACTTCACAATAGGAGAGCGCTGACGCTGAAATGGAACAGTAGACATCTAGAAATACACCAGCCTTTCTGAAGGAGAGAATAGACTATGAAAATCAAGATAAAGGCATTCTACAATTGTAGGACTGACTGACGATACGGCAATTCTAAGTTTATTATTTCCAGATGTACTAAATCTAGTGTAAAAGCACAGGAATCAATGTGCTATCAAGCAAAAGAAACGAGAAGGGACATAAAAATTGTCTCAGGTAGAATAACATCTAAAGTAGCATTTTCTTATGGGGAAGTCGTAATTAAAGCGAAACTACCTTTTGGAGACTGGATTTATCCAGGTAAATGATTAGTCATATCAAATAAGCAAGCAGGACTCTGGTAGCAAGAGTTACATTTTTTATTCTATCCAGAGGTTCTATATGTATCTTTTGTTTCTGCACCTTCCTAGAGAGTGTTGGAGATATTATTTCAACCAGCGCCTTCTTAAACTATGTGGGGCACACAGGAAACTAGGTAACGGCTTGTAAGCTATTTTGCTTAGCTTTCGTTCGTTGTTTCACTTGATACCGTGCTGTTGATTGTCAATAAACATAAAACGGCAGCGTACATGATTGATTGAGGTTGGCTCAATAGACGAATGCAGTATAATTAATTTTTTACAGAAATATTCCTGGAAGAGGCTGATGACACTAAATCCTTCAACAAGAGAATTATAATAGCCTATTCCCGAGGAAATTTACACTTTTCTGGATCAGATGGAGTTAATATTGGATGTTTTCTGTTATTTGGAGGACCAGTGGCATCTGCTTATGAACCAGAGAAATCTCGGATGTTGAGTTCGTATCACTCTAACGACAAACCATTTAGTGATAAATTCCGTGAATACAGGCTAACGTGGAATCCAGGTTTGCAATTACATATTTGGTTTCTATGCTTCAACCTGCTAGTTCTTTAGTGCCATAGTCAAGTAGCAAAATGGAAGATGATAATATCGTGCACCAATCGAAACGCAGTGTGTCATTGTGAGCTTGTTTATTAATTTATTTATCAACATCAAAGAGCCAATGCCAATTACAGGACGGATATTCATAAAAATAATAAAGAAAGCAATGCATATAAGTGGACGATGTGTTATAGAGTAAACTGGTACGCTGAAAAACCTCAAAACAAAACCGTTCTGCCTCCACTCCTCCACACATCAGTCAAACCGGGAAGATTTAAGCTAGCATTATCGAAAATGAGTATTAATGTCTCCCTAAGTCGAACCAACCCAAAATATAACTATAACACTATTAACTGAAATACAGGGTGTAAACGTTATGATAGTCATTATTTAAATGGGTGATAGAGGGGGTTTAGGCCCGTATCGTCAGTCGTCCCTACAACTGTAGGGCGCGTTTATGGCCTCCTTGATTGTCATACTTCTTTCTCTCCTTCAAAAATTTCTAGATTACACTTTCCCGTGTCAGCGTCAGCGCTCGCCTATTGTGAAGATATGTTTTCTTTTTAAATTGTTTGAAATTCCAGGCTAATAAAACATGATATAACTCAAAAGCAAGCACAATTTGATGCAAATAGATGTTTGTGACATAACCTCAAAATAGAGCGCTGACACGGAGAAGTAGAAAACTATGACAATCAAGGAGGCCACATAGGCGCCCTACAATTGTAGGGACGACTGACGATACGGGCCTAAAAGAAGCAAAAAGTTTCATATAACATGGGGGTCAAAACGGCATTTTTTTAGAGAAAAGCAAACAATTAAAAAAACCGACTTACCACTAAATAGGGAACACAATTTTGATACATACATTGTATTTCTTTTAAAAACCCACACTGCACTTTTTTGTATTTAAAGAAGGTGTTCAAAATGTCGTCCTCCACTTTCCACACAAGCTTCATTACGACGAACCTAGTTTCTTCTTACTCTAGGTCCTCGAAGTTGTGCATTTATTTCAGCCGCATTAAAATCTTTTTCGCGAAGTTGTGCTTCAGCTGTTATTGGACCAGCTCCATGAACCATCCCTTTTAGTTCTCCCCAATACCAGAAATATGTCGGATTGAGGTCAGGAGATCTTGCTGACCATTCTCGAGGATCAGGAGCATTTCGACCGATCCAGCGATTTGGATAATGTTCATTCGAATACTGAATGACGCCTCTAAAAATGTGTGTTGGCGCCCGTCATGAAGAAACCACAAATTCTGTCTCCGTTGTAATGGCATGTTGTCTAAGGTCTGTTCCAAAAGTTCTGGAAAGCTAAAGTATCCTTCTCCTGACAACTTTGAGGGTAACTCGAATGGGCCAATTACCTGATCGTCTGGAATACCCGCCCAAATATTTATTTTAAAACGTTGTTGGAAATGACCTTCACGAATGGTATGAGGATTTTCTTGGGCCCACGTGTGAGTATTAGGAAAAATTTAATATCCCGTCTCGCGTAAGAGTACATTCGTCCGTCGCTAGAACGTTTTTAGAAAAATCCGGATTTTCAAAGTTTTTCACCGTAAACTAACAACATGTCGGCGAACTCTTGATTCGAGAACATTGTAAATAAACACGACGACGTACGCGAACAAAAAAAAAACACCACGCCCGATGCTCTGCTCGACAAAACGATAAAGTAATTCATCTATAGTCAACGCCAAACAAAGTGGCGTGCACGTCATCACGATAAAAATTCCCCGACCTAATGCCTAGGTTTCTATCACAAACAATTATTACTCTATTGCAGTTTCATATTAATGTGATATATAAATTGTAAAATGGTCATTACTCTCTTATTATGGTTAATAGTCATATAAACATTGTTATTAAAATATCACATAAGTTGCTTTCTGATAAATTTAGACGCATTATGCGAAATAAAATGTTTTGCAAACGCTAGAATCACTTATCGACATGTAAACGCACTAAACCGATTTCGCAGCGTTGACACATTGTCACCTTGAAACTTATTTAAACTGGGAACTGACATTTGTATTAATTTTGACACTGAATCAATTTGTGGCATTTCAAATCTTTATAAATCCTTTGGCCCCGCATACTGTAAATCAACAACTGTTTGTTTCAAAACAAAATTATTCATTTTACGAGTAGATAAAGGCAATTTTGGTATATAAAGATGCCCAAACAGTTAAATAGTCGGTGTAAGGAACTCGTGGCCTCGTTAATGCACTACTTTGAGCAAGAAAGGGACAACAACGGGCCTTTGTTGCCTTTAAATGCTGTTCAAGAGGTAGGTTACTAATAATTATATGTAATGTATATTAGTAATAGTGAAATTTTATTTCATTTTTTGTAGCGTGTTGCTGCTGCTTTAAAAATTAGTTTAAGGACAGTTAGTCGTATTTCCGAGGGTGTGAAAGGTGATGCAAATTTAGAATCGCCCAAGAAAAAGCGGAGTTATATTAAACGTGTAACCAACACAGCGACATTGGATACAAGTGCCATTCGAGAAGTGATCTATAATATGTATCACAAAAGTAAGATCTTATTATAATAACTTATCAGAAATTTGCATTAATTTGTTAACTAAATTATAATGTCATATTACACATGGTTTCAGAAGAACAAGTTACGATACAAACTTTATGGTCTCGATTAAGAGATAGGGCATTATTTGATGGTAGTGCCACGTCTTTAAGGCGGTTGCTTAGAGATCTTGGATTTAAGAGGCTTAAGGACAATCCGCGACGAGGGCTCATGGAACTACCAAGTATAGCTTTGAAAAGGGCAATACAATCAAGCCAAGGTTGAGGCCTTATACCAGTTTGTCTTCCTCGATGAAACTTGGATATTTCAAAATGGGACCATAGGTCGCTCTTGGCAAAATGGAAACCAAAAAAGCATGAAAGCTATTAAAACAGATGGTAAAAGGTATGTACTTTTACACAATTTGCACTATAAAATTTAAAACTAATATATTTTAGATACATTATATTACATGCTGGAAATGAAAATGGGTTTATTGAGGGTAGTGAAGCGATATTTTCTTCGAAAACAAAATTGAGCGATTACCATGGAGAGATGAACCAGGACAATTTTTTGAAATGGTTTCAACATCAGTTATTAGAAAAATTGGAGAGTCCATCTATGATTATACTGGATAACGCCCCTTATCACAGCATGATATTGAACAATGCATGGACAAAAAAAAAATATCCAAGACCGGTTGACAAATCAAAACATACCATTTTTAAACACAATGTTTAAAACAGAGCTATTGAGTATTGTTGCTCGGTACATAATGCTTCTTAATTATATATATTTTGGTCGACAGTTTATATTTCTTCTGTTTATTCCTATTCTTAAAATAACTGCTTTTTTAGAAACAAACCACCTAAAATATACGTGATTGATGAATTGGCGGAATAACATGGGCACAAAGTTCTTCGTCTGCCTCCTTACCATTGTATATTTAACCCTATTGAGTTAATTTGGGGCATAGCAAAAGGTTACTATAACAGACATATTGGTAGAGATGGTAACAGTGAAAAAGACTGTTTGGATATGTGGAACGAGGCTCTACAAACGGTTACCCCAGACATGTGGAAAAATAGTGTTCGACATACTGAGCAAGAAATTTTTAAATGTATGAAAGAGAACGAATTTTTGATCGACCAGACATCGAACCTTTAATAATCAACTTTGAGAGTGATGAAGATTCAGATTCAGACAGCGCTGAAGAAAGAAACTCCGACTAACTTTATTGTACAGAAAAAGCTTACACCAGTAGCTTACCTAATTTTAGAATGCATTTTTCTGTATGAATTCTGTAAAATAAATACATTGCCATGCATAAAATTTGGAGGACCCCATTTGGATTTTTATTCAGTACCTTTAAGCTATCAATTAAATATGGTAGTTTCATAGTGTCATCTGATCAATAATTGTCATACTTAATGATTATGCAAGTACAGATCTATAATTTTATTATACTATTATTTTTGTTCTCATTTGAGGTTAATATTGCTTATAAACCTAGATATGTAAATAATAAATTTTATTATTTTACAAAAAGTTTGGCAACAATGTAAATTTTTCAACACACCCACCTTGATGACGTGCACGCCACTTTGTTTGGCGTTGACTATATTACCCATTTCAATAATGACTGCCATAACGTTTACACCTTGTATAATTACGGCACATCATATGCGGTGGAGAAAATTTAAATACGTCTATACTAGCAACGAAGAAGTTGAGTTGTTTGAAGATGGAGTGAAATCTATAATGATATGGATAAGCTTGTGTGAAGAAACAGAGATGATTTTTTTTGCGTCTGAACTCTAAGCTACTGATCATCAACTAACTATCAGAAAAACCAGTTGCAGGAATTATACCTATTATCCTTTTCGTATGAAATATATTCCAGAAACTTTCTCTGAATGGTCTCCAAACGGTCAATATAAATTTGATGGTAAGGATACCGGATCAGGGATGCATACTCAAGCTTAGATTGGCATAGCACAGTGTGTTCAATGTAATAGAGTTATTTCTGACAATAAAGGCTTTGATGCACACACAGCAACATTTTCAATGTGAGAGAAGAAAGAAAGTGTTTTGTTAAAAGAGACTTCTAAGTTATTAATTATAATAGGCCGCCATATTTCCTACCACTAATACGATATGCATACATCATTACTTCTGATTTTAAATTGAACGATAAGACATGACACTTAGCAGTATTCAAGATTAATGTATTTTCAGGACACCAGTTGTCAACCCTTAAAATGTTGCATTTCGCGGTTTTCACCATCGAACCTTAAAAATCGAAATATCTCAAAAACGGTTAACATTAACGAAAATTCACAAGGGCTTTTTTATGTTGAAAAGTGCAAAGAATCAGTCTTTTTATTCAAAAAGCAAAAAATTGCACTAAAAAATTTTTTTCGGTCATTTTAATACACTAGAGGCGCAGTAGAGAGCGCCCTCTAGCGGCTACAGTAAAACTATGCCCATGGTTCGTTTTGTCGTACCAAAAAACCCTTGTATACCAATTTTCACTGTTAGACATCAAATATTGTCCGAAATATTAAAAAAAAACTATTTTAGAAAGTAAATTTAAACACCCTGTATTTCAGAAGCCACGCATTTTTCGACCCATGTTTATATAGACTTTAAGCATTAATTTTAAAAGTTCTATCGATTCTTAAAGTTATGCAACAATAAACTGAAACTCCCTGTATATTCAAAGTTTTAGCTACAGCGTATAAAAGCATTGTGGCAATAAGGAATTCTAATTCTGTCCACTCCATCTCCTTCAACGATTCCACTCGAATTTAATTCTTCTCATTGTCCATTCCGAGTCACCTAATGTATGCAAAAATGCATAGTAGGTACTGCTTTTTTGCCTTTGCTTTTTTTGTAGTTTCTTTAGCTGTGTCGGCTATCTTCTTTAGATAAACCATACCATTTTTATTAATAAATAACTAAAAACATAAACTAGCAAAATACTTTCTTATTTAACTTCACAAAAATTGACCGTTCTTCATTCAGATCACCGACGATACAGATAAAACCTCATTTACACGTTCTTATCAGTATGAAAAAACAAAAATTCGTAGTATTTTGTTTTCGCCAGTTGTTTGGTACAACATTTACTACAAGAAATTATTAATGCGTGTTCTAATATCACAATTTATTATTGAAACTCGGGTTTATAACTTAATTTCTGTAGGACTTTTATTGTACTTTTTTATGAGAAATCAACTTCTTTCGTAACAGTGCATATGTGGTTAAAATCTGTTCGATAAGTTGTGACACACCCTGTATACACGACCGTCGTTAAAAATGTTGTTGGGTGGAAATTGAAAATAATTTGGATTTAATTAGAGATCTGTTTCAGATAGAATAGAACTATTTGTAGACGATACAAAATATGGTTCAATAGAATCAACAGCAATTCGGAACGAAGAGTTCACAGTGAATCCAATGAAGGTATAATATACGTATATGGATTAATACCCGCTTTTCTACTTTTGAATTTGTTTTAACGATGGTACAAATAAAGTTCATTTAGTCTTCTCTTCAACTCATCCCTGGATGCCTATAATGGATAAATCTAGTTTTGTAAGAACATTCTTTCAAAAAAAAAAAAAATGACAAGTCTTTGGGTGCTTGGATACATAATATGCATATCCTTCTTAACAATTCTTTATTTTGACATTTGTAGGCAAGACTGGTGCTGGGAGTAGGTGTAGGAGGTATCAACGACTTCCCAGATAATTTCAAATCTAGCAACAATGACGGTGGATTTTTCACATATTACATTAAACCATGGAACAATGGAGAACTTTTTCAGGAAAAAAAGTTTTTCAACAGCAAAAGCAACTGGCTACCTTCCTGGGATAAACATGTACAGCTCGAGGTGGAGTACGTGAAAATAAAAGCGGTTTGATATTCTGAATAATATGGCAAAAATAAAAATATCTTAATTTATATTTCGATGATTGCCTCCAAAAAGCATATCGATGGCTTAGTTCGGTGTATCCCCAAAAAGCGAGTTTGACAGTAAGAAGAAAAAACGATTCATTCAAGATTACTTTGTCATTTAAGGCTGTTAGATGCTTTTATTATCATATTTGAGATTAGCTTGATCTGTTTTAGACAAAATATCGACAAGCAGAGACCACTCCAGCCTTGTATGTGGCTTAAGAAGTATTAGCATTTGATCATTATGTTTTGTACGACCTTTTTGTCTTCCACAGTGGGCTATGTCCTTTTTATTCTATATAAAAATCACGAAACTAATTAGAATATAGCATATCGTGTGAATATGATTTTGTTATAAACAGCATTTTAACATTATATAATCGTTTATTAATTGCTAACAACAAAGGAAAACATAAAAATATGAGATCATAAAACTTCAATTGTTATCGTGTAATAAAAAATAAAAACAAATCCACACTGGTGAGTTCTTACAGTAGACGCAAGCTCGGTAACAAGTAACAGAGTAGAAGAGTACTGGATGAGTCAATTTAGTTTCTTATTTTTGGACTTATTCGTATCATTATTGCACTTCTTTGTTTTTCAGAAATAAAAAGTTTTCATAAAAAATGATTATACAATACCAAATGTAATACCTTTTACTGTCTTTTGCGTTTTTCTAATTACCGCCATTTTCCAAATTAGGCTTCCCTGACCTATTATCAATTTTGGATACACATCTTCAGACATTACTTTTTTGAATCGTTGCAAATGATCCCATTCCTTTTTCGTTATCTGAAGCCTTGTCTCGTAGAGCTGTTTGGGCTTATAGGCTATATCAATTTGCTTTGGCGTTGAGGTAAGACTTCGTAAGGATCGTTGACTTCCGATTTGTAGTAGATTTGGCCAGTGCTATCATATCTTAGGCATCTCAGATCGTTCACGTTTAAACAGTTTTTCTTATTTTCTGGACGTATGGAATTGTACCTCTTACAGTTGTACTTCGAAATTCAGAAAATACGAATGGTTTGGGTACTCTACGTCCAAAGGAAATGATCGCATCTCTAACAAGGTTTATGTAATCGGTAGGCAAATGTATGTCCTTCCATCTAAGGCGCCTTTCAATGATACAAGTCGAGTCACACTCCAGTTGAATGTAACCCTTCTCCAGATACTTCTGCTCAATCACCATATTATATCGTGTGGCCAATAGAGACAAGGCATTAGACAACATGGTGTTTTTGTTTTGGTATCCCCAACTATCTGACCACAACACAATCGGTTTGGCTAGAATATTCAAAGCAGACTCTCCTTCAGACTTGCTCCGATCATTTAGAGTGATGCTGTAGCTCATTTGCTAGATGTCACTTTATAGAATGCGCCAAGTGAACCTATCTGAATTGTTCTCATGTCGCAGTACCGAGCCACTCCCTCGTCCCTCGGAGCTAACTCACAGACATTATTAATGATGAAGCGCAAGCCACCGAACTCTTTGGAATAGTTCGGTAACGTTCGATCCTGCAACCCAAACACAACCCTTGAGTATGTTTTAGAATGTTATTTCAATAACCTGATAATAACTGACAAGGAATACAACCTGCTGGAGCGTATCAAGATAGCGCTAAAGTGCAGCAGCTCAGTGTTATAAACGCAGTCTATGTGTCAGTCAAAGACAGAGTGAAGCCATGAGTACCCTATATGGTAGTATGGGTGACAAAAATTCGACTTAAGTGTTAAAGGACAGCAGAAATAAACATCTAAAAGACCCACTAGCATTGGGATTATTGTACATTAATTCTAATTTGTCGTATACCAACAGAACAGTTACAAGATCCAATAAGCTGAAACCGATCTTCACTTTTCAATCAAGTATACATTTCTGATGAGATTTCTTAGACACTTACTCTGGCGTAATGCTTTATTGTAAAAAAACATAGATAGCATCAGTTGGTCAAACAAAGAGAGCACTGTCCTGCAACCAACACAATCAGGTTCAGTGAGCAAGTGTATGCTGAGGGATACAGCTTATTGGAACCGAAAATAACAGCTGATTTAGATACGACATATTAGAATACCTGTATGTGCAAAAATGGTATTTATATTAGCAGGTTGGCTACGATGAATTGTCACATGATACAAATACCCTTTTTTCATTTGAAATCCACCCTAATCTCGATTTCGACATTTTGTGGGCTACGTCGTATTAGAACTAAGCCATCGATATTCTAAATGCTCTCTTCTTTCTCTGAACGAACTGTGGTAAAATTTGATATACAAAGGTGAAGTATTGACGTAATAAGTTCATAGGTGTTTTCCAGTGGTTTTCGATTTGAGAGTGATATACAGGGTTTGTCCGGAAAGTAATAGGACAGAGTCGATTTAAAAACATTTATTGAGCCAATCGTTACAATTCTTTAAAAACTTTCAAAATAGGCTCCTTCTGCGTCGATGCAGCGCTGCCAGCGCGATTTCCAAGCATTGAAGGCGTCACGGAAGGTCCAGGAGGAACAAATTCATGGTGGACGATACCTTTGATGTCAAAAAAGACAATGAGCATCGTTTTCACTTTGGATTTGCTCATTCTTCCCTTTTTTGGGTGAGGAGACGCCGTCGTGTGCCACTCGGAAGATTGCCTCTTTGTCTCGGGATCATATTCAAAGATCCACGACTCGTCACCTGTGATTACGTTATTCAAAAATTGGGGGTCACTTTCACACATGTTCAAATTTTCTTGGCACACTTCCACTCGCCGCAATTTCTGGTCGTCAGTGAGCCCTTTTGGGACCATCTTCGCGCACACCTTGCGCATGTTCAAATGCTGTGTCACAATGTCATGAACCACAGGTTTTGGTAAATTTAACATCTGGGCAATTAAAGTAATACTTAGTCGACGGTCTCAGTTCAAAACTTTGCGCACACGAGTCACTTTATCGGTGTTTGTCGAAGTCGAAGATCTTCCAACACGGTCTTCATCAGCGACCTCTTCCCGGCCCTCCAAAAAGGCCTGGTGCCACCGAAACACACCACTTCTTGCTAAAGCAACACCTGGGTAAGCTTGCTTGATCATATCAAACGCCTCTGTCGCAGATTTACCGAGTTTCACACAGAATTTAATCGCGTACCTCTGCTCTAACGAACGCTGCATTTTCGGCTTGCACCACTCACAGAAACACGTCGCGCGAAAATGCCTGTCCTGACTCTCCAAGTGCTCGCAGACAACTGACCAGCCGCTCATTCGTTAGCTAGGAACGCCCTCTACCGAATCCAGTCGGTGCGCGCACGCTCCGAAGTCATGGCTGAAGAAAATGAGTCCTATTACTTTCCGGACAAGCCCTGTATTCCCGAACTGCTCTAGTAATAATGCATGGGAATACATTGAGTAGTGGAACGGTATTGGTGCTGACACTACTGAGTTACTCAGAGCCACTCCGGGTGACTCAACTAGGGGTCGAGATTGTAGATCTCCATTCACATCTCATAGACACCCAATCAGGGGTGGATCTAGAAAATATTTTGGAGGAGGGTCCATCTGATGAATTTGAAGTTTCTTGAGGTGTTGGGGACGGGGTGGGAGCTCAGGACTTATGACCAGGAACTGTAAAACTATATAATTGCTGATTACTTCCACTCGTCTCATCACTGTATTAGCAGAAAGTTGTATAGATTTCATAGCAGACACTATTTCGTCTAAGTCAAATAATGAATCTGTAGCTTCTAAAGAGGCCTGTTTTTAGTGACTAGGTACTTTCGGAAAATTATGATATACTGTCTGTTTCTGAAACATGGATTAATCACGTTGTAACAGCTGACATACTGCAGATTCCAAATTACAATTTCTTCCACAAAGATCGCTCAGGTAGAGGGCGTGGAGTGTGTTTATATGCAAGAAGTAATATTTCATGTAAAGAAGTGTTCCAGGAGTTTTCATCTCAGTTGGGAATTGAACATTTATTCGTAGAATTAATACTTAATAAAAGAAAGGTTCTTATTTGCGTGATATATAGGGTGATATCCAGTAGTGCGGAGTTATTCATTGACATTTTATCTTTTTTTACACCACAGTACGATGATTTTGTGTTACTGGGCGATATCAACATTGACTATACTATAACTATCTAAAACTGTAATGACTCATCGATGTTCACGTGAACATCACTTAACTACCAGTAGTCGGCTGTTCATAGGCGGGGTATGAATGTTTAACATGGGTGAACTAGATTTGTCACATGCTTAATAAAGAGTGGTTTGAAACATATTGTAAGTCAAAAATTTGGGAATTACCTTTATTCATCGTCGCTTCCACTTACATCTGACAGTAATAAACTGTCGCTATCGCCTTCCTCGTTGAAGTTGACTATAACTGGCTCTATGACGGTGTCGATGTGGTGGTCAAGCTGCCACATTTTTGTTTCTTTCTTCACAACATGACGGATAGCATTCTGCCAAGCTTCGGGCGTTACTAGCTGTATGGAAGTCTCAAGTAAAACCTTAACGTCTGGTAATTTGAAGGTTGTGTTATGGAGCGCAATATAACCCTTCACTTGAGCCCAGATGAGCTCTATTGGGTTCAGTTCACAGTGGTAGGGCGGTAACCGCAGCACAGTGACACCACATTGACGGGTCATCTCATCAGTCACGTAACTAATGTTCGCAGGTTTGTGCTGTTTAATTTTTTCATACAATTCCGCTTTCACACATGAATCGTCAAACGGGATTCCTTTTTCGTGCAACCATTGCTGCATGTCACTTTTTCGAGATCCCATAGTTGGTACACGTTCGGCTCGACGACTATGGTAGGAAGCATTATCCATGACGATCACAGAGTTGGGCTCAACTCGCTGAAGCACCCCTTGAAACCAGCTCTCGAAGCAGCTGGCATTCATTTCGTCATGGTAATCACCTCCTTTCTTAGAGACGAAAATCAAGTCACACTCTTCTAAAAAGACACTATCGCTACCAATATGAGTTACGATCAATCTTTGACCTTTCCCTGACGGTCCACGAAGACCTGTTGACAAACCTTCAA